GCATCTGTTGTTGGTAGATTTCTGAATGTGAGCCATTCTAACCGGGGTGAGGTGGAACCTCATTGTGGTTTTGATTTGCATTTCCCTGATTGCTAATGACCTTGAACATTTTTTCATGTGCCTGTTGGCCATTTGGATTTCCTCTTTTGAAAAATGTCTGTTGAGGTCCTTGGCCCATCTCTTAATTGGGTTGTTGGTTTTGTTTTTGTGGAGTTTCTTGATCTCTTTGTAGATTCTGGTTATTAACCCTTTATCTGTTGCATAGTTTGCAAATATTTTTTCCCATTCTGACGGTTGTCTCTTCACTCTCCTGACTGTTTCTTTTGCAGTACAGAAACTTCTCAATTTGATGCAATCCCAATAGTTAATTTTGGCTTTGACTGCCTGTGCCTCCCGGGTCTTTTCCAGAAACTCTTTGCCTGTGCCAATATCTTGTAGGCTTTCTCCAATGTTCTCTAGTAACTTGATGGTGTCAGGTCGTAGATTTAGGTCTTTAATCCATGTTGAGTGGATTTTTGTGTAAGGTGTAAGGTAGGGGTCTTGCTTCATGATTCTGCACGTGGAAATCCAATTTTCCCAGCACCATTTATTGAATAGACTGTCCTTGCTCCAGGAATTAGTTTTAGATCCTTGATCAAATATAAGTTGGCTGTAGATGTTTGGGTTGATTTCTGGTATTTCAATTCTGTTCCATTGGTCTATCCATCTGTTTCTGTACCAGTACCATGCTGTTTTGATTACAACTGCCCTGTAGTATGTCCTGAAAACTGGTATTGTGATGCCTCCGGCTTTGTTTTTGTTGTACAAGATTGCTTTAGCTATTCGAGGTCTCTTGTGCCTCCATATAAATTTCAGCACCAATTTTTCCAGATCTGAGAAGAAGGTCTTCGGTATCTTGATTGTTATTGCATTGAATTTATAAATTGCTTTTGGGAGAATGGACATTTTGATGATATTGATTCTTCCAATCCATGAGCATGGAAGATTTTTCCATTTCTTGGTATCCTCTTCTATTTCTTTCTTTAAGGTTTTGTAATTTTCATCGTAGAGATCTTTAACGTCCTTGGTTAAGTTTATTCCAAGGTATTTGATTGTTTTTGTAGCTATTGTGAATGGGATTGATCTTAGAAGTTCTTCCTCAGCCATGGCATTGTCTGTGTATACAAAGGCTGTTGATTTTTGTGCATTGATTTTATACCCTGCTACTTTGCCAAACTCTTCTATGAGTTCCAATAGTCTCTTGGTAGAGTTCTTTGGGTCCCCTAAATAAAGAATCATGTCATCTGCAAAGAGGGATAGTTTGAGTTCTTCCTTCCCAATTTGTATCCCTTTAATTTCTTTTTCTTGCCTAATAGCTCTGGCTAGAACCTCCAGAACTATATTGAATAGCAGTGGTGAGAGTGGACATCCCTGTCTGGTCCCAGATCTCAGTGGAAATGCTTCCAACTTTTCCCCATTCAATAGGATGTTGGCTGTGGGTTTTTCATAGATTGCTTTGATTGTATTGAGGAATGTTCCTTCCAAACCCAGTTTGCTTAGAGTTTTCATCATGAACGGGTGTTGTATTTTATCAAATGCTTTCTCTGCATCTATTGAGATAATCATATGGTTTTTCTTCTGCAGTCTGTTAATGTGGTGTATCACATTGATTGTCTTGCGCACATTAAACCATCCCTGCATACCAGGGATAAATCCCACTTGGTCTGGGTGGATGATCTTTCTGATGTGTTGTTGCATTCTATTGGCGAGAATTTTATTGAGGATTTTTGCATCTATGTTCATCAGGGATATTGGTCTGTAATTCTCTTTCAGTGCTGCATCTTTTTCCGGCTTAGGAATTAAGGTGATGCTGGCTTCATAGAAAGAATTTGGGAGGACTCCCTCTTCTTCGATTGTTCTGAATAGTTTGAGAAGAATTGGAGTTAGTTCTTCTTTAAACGTCTGGTAGAATTCAGCAGTGAATCCATCTGGTCCTGGGCTTTTCTTTGTTGGGAGGGCCTTTATTACTGTTTCAATTTCTGTCTCAGTTATGGGTCTGTTTAGGTTTTCGATGTCTTCCTGGTTCAATTTAGGTAGGTTGCATGTGTCCAGGAATCTATCCATTTCTGATAGGTTTCCCTGTTTGCTGGCATACAAGTCCTTGTAGTAATTTCTGATGATTCTTTTTATTTCTGTGGTGTCTGTTGTTACATTTCCTTTTTCATCTCTGATTTTATTGATTTGGGTCTTTTCTCTTCTTTTTTTAGTTAGTTGGGCCAATGGGGTGTCAATTTTGTTTATTTTTTCAAAAAACCAGCTCCTCGTTTGGCTGATTTTTTGGAATGTTTTTCTTGATTCAATCCTGTTGATTTCTTCTCTGATTTTAATTATTTCTCTTCTCCTACTAGATTTGGGTCTGGTTTGCTGTAGGTTTTCTAGATCCTTGAGGTGAATAGAAAGCTCATCTATTTGGTGCCTTTCCAATTTCTTGATGTAGGCACCTATTGATATAAACTTACCTCTTAACACTGCTTTTGCTGCGTCCCATAAGTTTTGGTATGTTGTGCTGTTATCCTCATTTACTTCCAGAAAGTTTTTGATTTCTCTTTTGATTTCTTCTATGACCCATTGTTCATTCAGGAGCATGTTGTTCAATCTCCATGTGTTTGCATATGCTCTAGGGATTCCTGAGTTGTTCATTTCCAACTTCATTCCTTTATGGTCTGAGAAGCTGCATGGTATGATTCTAATTCTTTTGAATTTGCTGAGACTTGCTTTATGGCCTAGTATGTGGTCAATCCTAGAGAAGGTTCCATGTACTGCTGAGAAGAATGTAAAATCTTTAGCTGTAGGCTTGAAAGTTCTGTATATATCTGTTAGATCCATTTGGGCTATAGTGTCATTTAAATCTACTGTATCCTTGTTGATCTTCTGTCCTATTAATCTGTCTATTTCTGAGAGTGGAGTATTGAAGTCCCCCAGTACTATTGTATTGGGGTCTAAGTCTCCCTTTAAGTCCGTTAACAAATCTTTTAGATAAACCGGTGCCCTGTAGTTAGGTGCATATACATTGATAATTGTTATATCTTCCTGTTGAATTGATCCCTTAATCATTATGTAGTGTCCCTCTTTGTCTCTCTTAACGGTTTTTGTGGTAAAGTTTATGGTGTCTGATATTAAGATGGCTACGCCTGCTCTTTTTTCATTTCTGTTGGCATGGTATATCTTTTTCCAGCCTTTCACTTTCAGTCTGTATGGATCTTTGTTGGAAAGATGTGTTTCTTGTAAGCAGCAAATAGATGGGTTTTGTTCCTTAACCCAATCAGCCAAACGGTGTCTTTTAACTGGACAGTTCAGGCCATTCACGTTCAATGTGACTAATGATAAGTGGTAACTTTGCCCTGCCATTTGCCAAAGATAAGTTCTAATATATGCTTTGAATTCCCTGTGATCTTTTGCTGTGAGCTTTCCTTCCTTGGTTTCCTTCCTTTACCTTCTTTCATATTGATGACCGTGTTTCTTTGTTTCTGTGTGTAACACATCTTTAAGCATCTTTTGCAGGGCTGGACGAGTGGCAACAAATTCTTTCAATTTCTGTTTGTTATGAAAAGTCTTTATTTCACCTTCATTCACAAATGATAGCTTTGCAGGATATAATATTCTGGGCTGGCAGTTGTTCTCTCTTAGTACCTGGGCTATATCTCGCCATTCCCTCCTAGCTTGTAGAGTTTCTGATGAGAAGTCAGCTGTGAGTCTGACAATCTAGTATTGAAGTGTTGGGTTCTTTTGGAGGTATCATGTTGTCTTCCTTATTCTTGTTTCTTGAATTGATTCATTTATTATTCAGCACTTGTGAGATACTATTGTTTCAGCTTTTTGCTGTGGTCTCTTTTTTCTCTGACTATCATCTGTGGATTGTGAGAGTCAACTTTTCGAGGAGCACTAAAGCTTTTTGTAGAAGAGACCAATGAGCTGTGTGCAGTGCTACAGGGTGAAGGGCACGTCTGAGGTGACACACCCAGGTTTGGCATGGTAAATCTGTTTTGTTTTGTTTTGTTTTGTTTTGTTTTGTTTTAATCACAGGGGAGGTTTGTTCTGTTCTGTTGGTGTAGACTCAGCCTCAGCTCACCTCCTTTCTTCAAAGGAGACCAATGCCTGTGTGCTAGTCCCAGTGGGTATAATATTCGCCCTGCCACAAGAACCTCACAAAGGATCTGTGCAGTCCTCTGTGTAAGCTCAGGTTCCACAGCAATGACCTTTACCAGGCATTCAGGGAGCCCTGAGCATGTGGAGCCTCACACGGTGACTGCCCAAAGTCACAGCCACACCCTGAGTCCTCCCACACATCCTCGGTGTTTCCACAGTCCTGGCACACAAGTCTCCCACAGTCATGAGCACCCAGCCCCCTATCAGTTCTGGTTGCTGGGTGCAGGGACAAGAGCTGGCACAGCTGTTACGTGTGTCCAAAATGGTGCCTGCCCTCTATCAGCTTGTTACAAGATGCTTTTGCAGGGTAATCGAAGAGAGAGAAACGTGCCACCCCTCTTTTTTCTTCTCCAGTTTGGCAGGTATACTATCCCCCACCGGGCTCCCAGCCAGATTCCCTCCAGGCTCTTCCTGCAGTTTTATCGCCAGCGGCTTGGGCTGCTTCAGTCTGGTCTCACCTTACTCCAGAGCTGGTGCTGAGATTCTCAGCTGCTGGGGTCCTGAGTTGTGCGTGTTCACATCCCCCATGTAGGTCCACAGTGTCTAATATGTGTAGTTTTCTCTGCTGTTTTTTCCCTAAGACTGCACTTTCTCCACTGTTTTTTACACTATCTTCCCCTAGACTAGAGCAGTAAGCTCCCTCCCTACCCTGCCATCTTGATCCCAACCTAAAAAATATAGATTTAAATAGACTTTTAGACTTAATGTAAGTCTCCTGAAATCTCACTTTAAAGGTTTTTTTTTTCTTTTTTGAAGATGGATATATTACTGCTTTTATATGGTATGTAAAAGTAACTTTTATGTATATTTGACAGAAACTATGTGAAGCAATACTCTTTCTGGATTCTGAAAGACGTCATTTCATCATGGGACAGCAAATTTCAGATCAAACCCAATTGGTTATTAGCAAGTTACCAGAAAAAGTAGCAAAGCACGTCATGTTGGTTCGAGAAAGTGGCTCCTTAACATATGAAGAATTTCTTGGGAGAGTAGCTGAACTTAATGATGTGTAAGGCATGCTCTTTTTACATATACTTTTTACCCCTGATATATCCCCATATGTCATGGCTGTGTAAGAAGTAACCAGAAGTCTCAATCGGTAATACTTAATGTTTTCAGCAGGAGTTAACAAATACTTATTGAATGCTTGTTACAAGTAGACTTTCTATGTAGCCATTTTAAAATATGGGATGAGAACAGAAGAGATGAAAGGAACTTAAGTGGAATTTGGAACACAGAACACAGGCATATTGATGCAGTTCCAGATTACAGTAGCACCCAACCATCTTCGCAGTTGTGTACTTGTAGACGACAAACTGACTCTTGAAAACACAAAGGGGTCCATAACAGCTGTAGATATGCTAATGAGCTACTCTAGACAAAGGCGCTACATTGACACTAAGGTTTCTATACATCAGCCAGTTCACCTGAATGTATATATCCTCTATGTTTGTTTATTTAGCCATTATTTTATCAGAAAATATATATATGATGATTGTTTTTATCACTGAGGAATAAGATACTTCATTTATTTATATTCATAATTAGCCAACACTTTTAAATCCCTAATTAACTCTTTTGGGTAAATTTTCATCTAAGATGGAATATGAATCTCTCCATTTTCTTAAAGAGCACACCTAATAGAACTAAGCCTTTTCTTTGTGAATTTATTCTTTCATCAGTTTGCATACTAATCTATGTGGAAGCTATTAAAATACAAAGAATTTTTGTATTCAGGGAATTCTGTCCCTGAATGGTCACAGACTCCTATGCTTTTTATTTTTTTAAAGATTTATTTATTTTACTTGAAAGATATTCACAGAGAGGCAGAGGCAGAAAGAAAGAGGTCTTCCATCTGCTGGTTCACTCCCCAAATGGCCACAACGGCCAGAGCTGGGCCGATCCAAAGCCAGAAGCCAGGGGTCTCTTCTGGGTCTCCCATGCAGGTGCAGGGGCCCAAGGGCTTGGGCCATCTTCTACTGCTTTCCCAGGCCATAGCAGAGAGCTGCATCGGAAATAGTGCAGGTGGTGGTTTTACCCGCTACACCACAGCGCCAGCCCCATACTCCTATGCTTTTTATTTTTTATTTTTTAAAGATTTATTTATTTATTTGAAAGAGTTACACAGAGAGAGGAGAGAGAGAGAGAGAGGAAGTGAGAGAGAAAGAGAGGTAGGTCTTGAATCTGATGGTTCACTCCCCAATTGGCCGCAACAGCCAGAGCTGCACCAGTCCGAAGCCGGGAGCTTCCTCCAGGTCTCCCATGTGGGTGCAGGGGCCCAAGGACTTGGGCCACTTTCCATGCTTTCCCAGGCCGCAGCAGAGAGCTGGATAGGAAGTGGAGCAGCCGGGTCTTGAACCTGCACCCATATGGGATGCTGGCGCTTCAGGCCAGGGCTTTAACCCGCTGCACCATAGCGCCGGCACCCCTATGCTTTTTAAGTACTGCCTTTTTGCATGTTTTCTCCCTTAGAGACAAGTGAACAGATGTTGCTTTTTTCTATTAAATCTCCTAGCACTGCTCACATCTACTTTTCTTTATATAATTTTATTCCTGGAAAAATAATTAGAACTTTGCCTTTCAAGTGAAAACTTAAAGTTTCTCTCTTTAATCTCCAATTCAGCCAGCATTCACTGAACACATACAATGTGCAAAACTCTGCTGAGAGTTGGACATTTTAACAGCCTAGATTATCCACTTATTAATGGCAGACACAGCTCTCTGAGTCTGAAGCTCTTTCCACTATCTAACACTATCTCTCCTCTAACCTCCTGAAAGGCCAAATAAAATCACCTAGCAGTTTAGGACAACATAGTATATATAAATTTAAAATACTGTAATCTCTACTAATAGCTTATTTTAAAAAAGATGTATTTATTTGAAAGGCAGAGATAGAGAAGGTGAAACAGAAAGAGCAAGCATAAGCTTTTATCTGCTGTTCCCTCCCTAAATGGCCCCAGCAGCAGGGGCTGGGCCAGGCTGAAACCAGGAGCTTCTTCCTGGTCTCCCACATGGGTGCAGAGGCACAAGAACTGGGGCCATCCTCTGCTGCTCCATCCCCAGGCACATTAGCAGGAAGCTGGATCAGAAATGGAGCAGCTGAAACTTGAACCAGTGCCCCTGTGTGATGCTGGCATTGCAGGCAGAGGCTTAACCTTCTATGCCACAGTGCCAACCTCGCTACTTGTAGCTTAGAGTAAGATATGTGAACAAGGCCGGCGCCGTGGCTCACTAGGCTAATCCTCCACCTTGCAGCACCAGCACACCAGGTTCTAGTCCCGGTCGGGGCGCCGGATTCTGTCCTGGTTGCCCCTCTTCCAGGCCAGCTCTCTGCTGTGGCCAGGGAGTGCAGTGGAGGATGGCCCAAGTGCTTGGGCCCTGCACCCCATGGGAGACCAGGATAAGTACCTGGTTCCTGCCATCGGGTCAGCATGGTGCGCCGGCCACAGCGTGCCGGCCACGGCGGCCATTGGAGGGTGAACCAACGGCAAAGGAAGACCTTTCTCTCTGTCTCTCTCTCACTGTCCACTCTGCCTGTCAAAAACAAAGAAACAAACAAACAAACAAAAGATATGTGAACGTACTCCACTGGCTTTACATTAGCTGTATTAGATGATAAGAGATATACTTGGTGCTCTGGAACACATTGTGTTAAAATGAAATGCTACCTGAATGGACATGGCTAAAATTTGCTGTTAATAGTCAAGAATGAAAAAGAGGATGGTCATCTGGCACAGCAGTTAAGACCACCACTTGGGATGCCCAAATTCCACATCTGAGTGCCTGGTTTGAATCTCATCCCCACTTAGAATTCCTGCGAATACATATCTTGGGAGGCAGCAGGAAATGGCTCAAGTACTTGGGTCCCTACCATCTACCTGTGAGACCCAGATTGAGTTCCAAGTTCTGGCTTTGCCTTGTCTACTCCCTGTCTGTTGCAGGCAATTGGGAAGTGAAACAGTGAATGGAAAATCTTTGCCTGTCTCTGCCTTTCAAAATGAAAATAAAAATTAACTACAAAAAAAATTAGGAGATGATTTCTTTTTTAAAAAAAGGTAGTTGGTTTCATTAATTGAAAAATCGATATGGCTATGTGTGTGTCTAAGTAAATATATAGGCAGTGAATTAGAAGACACACTAAAGTATTCCCTGTGCTTGTTTCTGATTTGGGAGATGAGGGGGAAGGGGGCACTGAAGGGAGAGTTTACATTTTATTAGTTATATTTGTGGATTGTCTGATCTTTCATAATAAAAGTGTCGTCACAGGTCTTAAGTCGAGTGTTTTATTTTTTTTCAGTCATCCAAACGGTCATGTGTGAAACATTACTTCTGAGACCATATTTTTAAAAGTAAAATAGGATTGAGAAGTTAGTAGCATCCTAAGAGTAGAGTACTTTTTTATGTTTAAGTTTCAATACATGAATAGTGATAAATGACATTTCCATTCCTTTAGTATCTTGGAAAAAAAATATACACACACCCACACACACAAATCCAGTCTATTCTATAAAATTGTGCCCTTTAGCCCCAAGATATTGGATAAAATGTTCCTATGAGGTCATCCACAAGCTAGGCTTACTGGATAATATAGAAGTGATGATTAAGAGTGTTTTATTTATTTAGCACAAGACACTTTGGACTGGGTTTGGTGCTTGAAACCAATTCCCATGGATCACACTTGGGCCTTTGGCAAATGCAATGCTCTGTGAAAACTGTAAAGTTAGGCCAGTACAGGAGAAGTATGGCTTGGTAGCTAGAGAGCACTTGGAAAACAGCACAGCTGAACTCGCTCACTGACTTTATTTCCTAAGGTGAGTTACTTAACTTTTATGCCCTCTTTTTTTTTTTTTTTTTTTTTTTTTTTTTGACAGGCAGAGTGGACAGTGAGAGAGAGAGACAGAGAGAAAGGTCTTCCTTTGCCGTTGTTTCACCCTCCAATGGCTGCCGCGGCCGGCGCGCTGCGGCCGGCGCACCGCGCTGATCCGATGGCAGGAGCCAGGAGCCAGGTGCTTTTCCTGGTCTCCCATGGGGTGCAGGGCCCAAGCACCTGGGCCATCCTCCACTGCACTCCCTGGCCACAGCAGAGGGCTGGCCTGGAAGGGGGCAACCGGGACAGAATCCGGCGCCCCGACCGGGACTAGAACCCGGTGTGCCGGCGCCGCTAGGCAGAGGATTAGCCTAGTGAGCCGCGGCGCCGGCTGCTCCACTTCTGATCCAGCTCCCTGCTGGCCTGCCTAGGAAAGCAGCAGAGAATGGCGTGGACTCCTGCGCCCACGTGGGAGACCCGGAAGAAACTCCTGGCTTTGTATTGGCTCTGTTCCAGCCATTACAGTCATTTGGGGGTGAGCCAGCAGATGGAGGACCTCTCTCTGTCTCTACCTCTCTCTGTAACTGTTTCAAATAAATCTTTAAAAAAGATTTATATATTCAAAAGGCAGAGTGACAGAGAAGAGGGAGAGACATAAACAAGAAATCTTCCATCCACTGGTTCACTTCCCAAATGGCTGCAACAGCCAGGGCTAGGCCAGTTTGAAGCCAGGAGCCTAGAATTCCATTCTGGTCTTCCACATGGGTGTCAGGGATGATATTTAAGTCATCTTTTGCCACTTTTTTAGGCACATTAGCAGGAAGCTGGATTGGAAGCGGAATAACTGGGATCCAAACTAGTGCTCTGATAGGAGATGCTGATGTTGCAGGCTTAACCTCTATACCCTAGTGCTGGCCCCTAAATTTTTCCTTTAAGTACCTGATTTGTTGGACTTTGTTTTTCCTAAATGTCTGTTAGGAACTTAAAGACGATTGAGATATAGCTGTGGCCAAAAGAAATGTATAAATATGATTCCACTAAGCTATTGCCTTTAAAACCTTGAAAATTAAAATGTTTATGTTAAAAAAAAACTCTGTCTTTAGAATCTACTTATTACAATCATTCTTTGTGCATTTTTTTTCATATTTCCTCTATTTGAAAGTACTTCTTGAACCCGGTTTTATAGCTGTTATTTTATATAACTTTTTGTAGAATTAACAGATGTGCTTGTCTCTCCTTAGAACTGCTAAAGTGGCTTCTGGCCAGGAGAAACATCTTCTCTTTGAGGTACAACCTGGATCTGATTCCTCTGCCTTTTGGAAAGTGGTTGTACGGGTAGTGTGTACCAAGGTGAGACTGAGAGAGGCTTCCTTTTCTGCGCTTAAGCTATTTTGGCAATCAGAACCACATTTAATAGTATAATATAGTGGAAGTAAATGTTAATAGTTTGGTGGCCTTATAAAACATAATTTTGATATTGTTATTGCCTTCCAGCTAATGGAATCTCACCAGTTGTTGATTTTTTTTTATGTTTAGGGAAAGTAGTAATAAATTCTCATCCTTATCTACCACATCTCTTTTGGGGTTTTAGGTGGCTGTGGACTTCTAAAGTGACACTGTTTAGCTCCAAGGTGATACCTTAAAAATTATTTCAGGAGAACATTTCTTCTAAGAGCACTGGGTTTTGGTACTTGTTAAAAAAAAATTTTGTGTGTGTTTCATTTAAAATAGGGTGTGTTCTTTTGTTATTTTTCATTTTTTAAATATTTTAGTCTGTTTTGTTTTATTTGGAAGGCAGAGCAAGAGAGAGGAGAATTTTCCATCTGCTGGTTCACTCCCCAAATGCACAGGGCTGGGCCATTCCAAAGCCAGGAGTCAGGAACTCCTGGGTCTCCCATGTAGATGGCAGGGACCCAAGTCCTTGAGTGATCATCTGCTGCCTCCTATGGAGCACATCAGCAGGAAGCTGGATTGGAAGCACAGTAGCCAAGACTCAAACTGGTACTTCCATATGGAGTGCAGATGTCCCAGGCAGAAGATAAACCAGCAGCATCACAAAGCCTGCCCCTATTTATTTTGAGTCTACCTGAAAGGCAGAGAGACAGAGAAAAACAAACTGACAGAGCTCTCCAAATATGTCAACAATAGCCATGACTGGGCCAGGCCAAAACCAGGAACCAGGAACTCCATCTGGGTCTCCCACATAGTTGGTAGGGAACTAAGCACTCTGCCATCATCACCTGCCTCCCAGGATGCATATCAGCAGGAAGGTGGATCCCACACATGGGCCTGCAGGCGTCCCAAGTGGTGACTCGGGCACTGTGCCACTCACTCGCCCCATTTGTTGTTGTTGTTGTTGTTGTTGTTTTTAGTCCATTAGAGAATGTGATGACCAAGAATTGGTTTGGATTAAACTGACCAGGAATGACTCATATTAGAAAGTGATGGATACTCGAACAAAATCAGACTCTCCAGCTTTACAAAGTGAGAATGGTGTTTCAGTAGTTGGCCAGGTGTTTCTGCCACACGCTTTCATTCTAAGTCTCTTTAAAGGTCTACCACCATTACCATATCATATACTTTACAGGCTTATTTTGAAGGTCAGATGACATCAACCTGTATAAATACTTTTGAACCCCACAAATATGGATGTAGTAGTAGTATTCATTAGAACTCTTGCTTTCTCTTAGGTCCTTTGCAAACCCTGAAAACTTTTACTTTCTAGCGTGTTTGACGAAATATGTTTCCTCTTTCTTGGAAAAATTAATCAGAGAGTCAACTTTTCTCCCCCTCCCCCCATTTTCTTTGTTTAGATTAACAAAAGTAGTGGCATTGTGGAAGCATCGCGCATCATGAATTTGTACCAGTTCCTTCAGCTTTATAAAGACATCACAAGTCAAGCAGCAGGTGTATTGGCCCAAAGCGCCACTTCTGAAGAACCTGAGGAAAACGCATCCTCTGTAACGTCTTGTCAGGCCAGTCTTTGGATGGGAAGGTATATGAGGCCCGAACACCCTGTGTCACTTCTTTTTCAGTGTTCAACCATTGGAATCCTATTCCTATTTTTGCTAGTGCTCATTGTGACCCTTAAATCATTGTCCCAATTGATGTTATGGCCCAGATCAGTTTTTGGATTATTCTGTGCTTCAGACATTGTTCCAGTGCTAAATTAAAGTGGCTCACCCTAAACAATGTTTTCTGTCACTCCAGGAATCCACCGCCCATTCTGTGTTTGCATTTAATGAAAAAGAAGATAATTAATGTCTCTCTTGTAATAGTTAAGCTATTAGACAGTCAAAGCTCCATAGGGAATTAGGTCCAAGGAATTTAGCAAACTCATTCCAGCTTCTAAAAAATCAGTGGAAAAGTAACAGTAAATGGTTTAGGAAATGTAATGTTCTCCACCTTTCTCCAATCCTATGGTTGAATTTTCTTGGAAATGAATTTGAAAAATAGCAAAAATAGGGTGTGCACGATTTTGGAAAACAAATCCAAAAACAACAAACATGTATAACAGAAGATAAAATGCACCTGAGGCATAGGGCTTCCTGTGTACCCTCAGTGCTATGCCTGTGCTAAAAGCACTAATTAGGAAGCAAAGAAAAAAAAGACTAAAAATCGTTGTCTTAAATTTATAAAAATTGGAGAGTTTTGTTGAATTACTTTTGGCAGGTTTTTAAAAAGTGTTTAGCATTTATTCCATAATTATGTGATGATAATTGTGTTTTATCTACAGAAAATGCTATAGGTTGATAAATTTGAGCACAAATGTTCATAGATACCAAGACATGATACATTTATTTTCTGGTGGTATTTTTCATTAATGTTATTTGGGGGATTTTACCTTGCCATTCACAGATTTGTTATTTTAACAGTACAGATATGTATTTATTTACTATATGTTTTAAAACTTATCCAATATAAGGGGCTTATTGTGTGATCAGACATTCTCTGAAATTTTGCAGGTTTAATGGATTTTTGAGAGCAAAATAGTGCATTGAAATTCTGGAAATACATTCTATTTTCAAACAACTTTTAATTTTGTCTCTTAATTTTTAGTAAGCACATGAGGAATTTATTTTTCACTGAAGCCAAGTGAGTTTATGGATATGTACTTCTATGTGAATGGAATACCCTGCTTTCAGTTCTTCACAGTTTATTGAAATTATGTAACAGGTTAAGATACTATCTGTTACCTCCAAAGTCAACTATGTATATCAAAATCTCACCAGAATGTGAGAAAAATAATAGCTGTAATATTAAAGCATTGTACAATATATATTTTTAGTTGGGACATAATATGTACAAAATTAAAACCACTTAAAATAGAAAAATTCATTCCAGATTTTCTTAAGAAGTATCTAACTAATTGGAGCATTCAGCTTTTAAATTCTGACTTAGGACTTGGCAGTCCATTCAGGAACGAACAAGTAGTTGGTACACATACTGCACATACTGAGTTACTAGGAGGAAATGAAGTCAGCCAGGGTTTTCTGTGATGGTGTTTGTTTACTCAGGCCTAATGTGTTACTGTTCTGTCTAAACTTTCTTTTCCTTCTCTCTTACACTTTTGGCATGTGGAAGTTCCCACCTGTTGCCATCTGACCGTCATGACCATAATTTAAGTCTGTAAATGCCTCATTGGAAAAAAGATTTACGTGGGTCCAAACATGTTGACATCCTGTCTTATTGTCAAACTGGGTAGATAGCAGAAATCTGTATTGACAGTGTCAATGAATTGAGAATGTGCTTAGCAGAAATTTCTCTTTTATTGCTCCATTTATAGTTGTATTTTCTGGTCCATTCTTAACCAGCTTCCAAATAACATGTTGTAGGAAATTGTTATTTTGCAGTTATTGTTTCCTTCTATCTTTAGTAGTTCTGTAGATTTGGGCTATACCCATATTACTGCCATGCCATGTGAGTTTACATCGTTGTAGGTAGCATTTAGGTTTATCTTTCCCATGCCTCATAGTTAATCCTTCGAAGACAGGGATTTGACTTGCTTTTTTTTCTTTTCCCTCTTCAGAATGGTGAATTTTTTTTTAATTTATTCATTTATTTGAAAGGCAGTTAGAGAGAGGCAGAAAGAGGGGTCTTCCATCCACTGGTTCCAGATGGCCTCAATGGCTGGAGCTGAGATGATCCAAAGCCAGGAGCTGGGATCCTCTTCTGGGTCTCCCACATGGGTGCAGGGGCCCAACGACTTGGGCCATCTTCCACTGCTTTCCTAGGCCATGGCAGAGAGCCAGATAGGAAGTGGAACAGCCAGGCCTGGAACCAGCACCCATATGGGATGCCGGCACTGCAGGCCACGGCCTTGTTCACTACGCCACAGGGCCAGCCCCATGGTGATTTTTTAAAAAGTACTTTGAAAGCTGAGGATAGTATTTACTAGTAATAGTAATTTTAAGTAATAGTTTTTTATTTGCAACTATAATTACGTTAATCATGAAAGTAAAAGTGTTCATCTCTTTTCATGTGCTCTCAAAAGACTGGGAAACTTGCCAGTTAGGACTGCTTCTTGCCTCTGTGTTTTTTTTACCTTATGTATTTCCTATAGCACCTGACACTGTCTTTTCACTTATGCCCATTATCAGTAACATCATTATCTGGCCCTGATGGCAAGGATTATATTTTAGAGAGCTTTGTATCTGAATAAATTGTATATTGATTAAATTAATTTATGTGGATCCAGTGTGATTTAAATGGGCTGAATTATATTCAAAAGGACCTGAATATTTCCATTTTCTGTCCATATTTCTTTTCTTTAGCATTATAGAATTTGTTTTATCTAGTCTGTCTGTATGAAATTTACCTCTTAGTACTTACTCGATAGTATATTTTCTATCACAGAAAGATGTTAATTTCAGTCTGATTATTTTAAATGCTTTTTAAGGCCATGAAAACAAAGTATAAAGCATAGTGAAAAAGAATATCATTGTTCCAGCTGAGCTTTCCCATTGCAGGGTGAAGCAGCTGACTGATGAGGAGGAGTGTTGTATCTGCATGGATGGGCGGGCTGACCTCATCCTGCCTTGTGCACACAGCTTTTGTCAGAAGTGTATTGATAAATGGTAAGTTATCTGCTGTCTTTATGGAACAAAGATCAAATAGGATCATACACGTGAGTAAGCCTTGTAAAATACAAAAATAGTGCAGTGAGTATGAGATTTTATTCTTTACTACTTTGAATTTGAAGACATGTCTCCTCCTGGTTAAAACTTTTTATTTTTATACCTAAAGTTTATTAAATGTAGGAATGTAACTTAGTTTTGACACTTTTATTTTGCTGTAAGGAAATTTGGGACTGGCTTGAATCTAGAATCAAATACTTCCCCTTTTCTGGCTTTTTTCTCATTTTTTTTTTTCTTCTTCTTTTAAAGATTTATTTATTTGAAAGGCAGAGTTACAGAGAGAGAGGAAGAGACAGATAATGTTTTATCTACTGATTACCTCTTGAAATTGCTGCAACAGCCAGGGATGGGCCAGGCCAAAGCCAGGAGCCTGGAACTCCATTTGGGTCTTCAACGAGGGTTCAGGGGCCCAAGACTTGGGCCATCTTGGCTGCTTTTCCAGGTGCATTACCAGGAAGCTGGATGGGTGGTGGAGCTGCTAGGACTCAAACTGGTGCCCATATAGATTCTGGCATCATAGCCAGAGGTTTAGCCCATGTGCACAATGCTGGCCCCCTCTTCATTTCTACATTTATCCTTTGATGTATTTAGGAGTAAATCCCTGAAAACTGGACCTAGAGCAAACTTTCAAGGTCAGCTAGTCAAGCTCATTATTTTGTAAAATAAGAGTCAAGCATTTAAGAGAACTTACAATTTTTTTTTTTACAGGCAGAGTTAGAGACAGAAAAAGGTCTTCCTTCTATTGGTTCACCCCCTAAATGGCCACTACGGCCAGCGCACTGCTCCGAATTGAAGCCAGGAGCTTGCTCCTGGTCTACAATGCGAGTGCAGGGCCCAAGCACTTGGGCTAGACTGGAAGAGGAGCAACCAGGACAGAATCCGGCGCCCCAACTGGTACTAGAACCCAGAGTGCTGGTTAGCCTAGTGAGCCGCGGCACTGGCTGAGAACTTATAATTGACATACAATAAACTACAAGTATTTAAAGTACAGTTTTATATGTCTAACATTTGTACACACATAAAAATCACAGTCAAGATAATGAACAAACCTGTTGCATCATGAAGTTAACTTGTAGCCCATTGTAAAGCCACTTCCTCACCATTTTAGCCCTAGTTCTTGGCATCTGCTAGTCTGCTTTTAGTCACTCTAGATTTATGCATGTTGTACCATGTGATTAAAGTTTATCCTTTTTATTGCTGAGTACTGTCCATGGTGTGGATATGCCACTGCTTGTTTAGCCATATACCTATTGGTGAACATTGGGTTGTTTCCAAATTTTGGCTATTGAAAACAAAGCTGCTACATCGTTTTCATGGATAAATCTTTTTTTGGACAAAGGGATTTTCTCGGATAAATATCTATAATTGGAGTGGCTAGATCAAAAGTTAGGTATGTGTTTAACTTTTAAAGACACTGCCAACTGTTTTCTAAAATGGTTATACTGTTTTACACACCCACCAACACCAATTCTAGTTGCTCCAAGTCTTTGTCAATACTTGTTACAGTGAGTCAGCATTTTAGCCATTCTAATAGTGTGTGCTGGTATCTTATTGTTGTATTTTGAATTTCCCTGCTAACTCAAAGATGTTGAGCGTCGTTTCATATGCTCACTTACTTGGTACGTCTTTTATAGTGAAGTGTCCGTTCATCTTTGTCCATTTCTTTATTTTGTTATTACCATATTACTGAGTTCCGAGTTTTTTATACATGTAAATCATAAGCAGTATGTGATTTGCATATATTGTCTATGGCTTGTCTTATCTTCTGTTAAGAATATCTTTCAGGGGCATTGTGGAACAGTGGGGTAAGCTGCCACTTGGGACACTTGCATCCCATATATCAGAGAGGCAGCAGATGATAGCTCAAGTCCTTGGGTCCCTGCCACCCACATGAGAGACTCAGTTTCAGGCTCCTGGTGGCTTCAGCCTGACCTAGCCCTGGCTGCTGAAGAGTAAGCCATCTGTTAGAAGCTCTCTCTTCGCCTTACAAGTAGATGAGACATAAAAAACTGCTCTTCAAAAAGAAGTTTTCAATAGTGATTTGAGTGTTTTAGTTTAGTTTTGGTTTCTTAACATTTAGTTTCTTAACTCAAGATCACAAAAGTTTTTTTTTTTTTTTTTAAGGTTTATTTTAGGTGGCTTGCACCGCGGCTCACTAGGCTAATCCTCTGCCTGCGGTGCTGGCACATCGGGTTCTAGTCCCGGTTGGGGCGCTGGATTCTGTCCAGGTTGCCCCTCTTCCTGTCTAGCTCTGTGTTGTGGCCCAGGAGTGCAGTGGAGGATGGCCCAAGTCCTTAGGCCCTGCACTCGCATGGGAGACCAGGAGAAGCACCTTGCTCCTGGCTTCGGATCAGCGCAGTGCGTCGGCCGCGGCAGCCATTGGAGGGTAAACCAACGGCAAAAGGAAGACCTTTATCTCTCTTTCACTGTCCACTCTGCCTGTCAAAAAAAATAATAATAATAAATAAATAAAAGATTTTAGGCCAGCACCGCGGCTCAATTGGCTAATCCTCCACTTGCGGCACCGGTACCTCGGGTTCTAGTCCCAGTTGGGGCACCAGATTCTGTCCCAGTTGCTCCTCTTCCAGGCCAGCTCTCTGCTGTGGCCCAAGTGCTTGGGCCCTGCACCCGCATGGGAGACCAGGAGGAAGCACCTGGCTCCTGGCTTCGGATCGGCGCAGCACGCCGGCTCTAGCGACCATTTGTGGGGTGAACCAATGGAAGGAAGATCTTTCTCTCTGTCTCTCTCTCTCACTGTCTAACTCTGCCTGTCAAAAAAAAAAAAATTTTTTTTATTTATTTAAAAGAGTTACAGAGAGAGGTAGAGACAGAGAGAGAGAAGTCTTCCATCCGCTAGTTCACTCCCCAGATGGCTGCAACAGCCAGAGCTGCGCCGATCCGAAGCGAGGAGCCAGGAGCTTCTTCCAGGTCTCCCACGCAGGTGCAGGGGCCCAAGGACTTGGGCCATCGTCCACTGTTATCCCAGGCCATAGCAGAGAGCTGGATCGAAGAGGAGCAGCCGGGACTAGAACCGGCACCCATATGGGATGCTGGCACTTCAGGCCAGGGCGTTAACCTGCTGCGCCACAGCACCGGCCCCACAAAAGTATTTTGTCTTCCAAAAGTTTTATAGTTTTTTTTTGTTTTGCACTTAGGTGTACAGTCCATTTTGAGTTACATGTATTTATGTAGTGTGAGATGTGAATCAGACTTCTGCATCTGTTATCTCATTGCTCCAGCACGATATGCTGCAAGAGCTTTCTTCACTAAATTACCTCGGCATCTTTGTTGAAATCAGTTGTCGAAGTGTGGGTCTGTTTCTGACTCTCCTGTTTATCTGTTCCACACAGTTTCACACTGCCTTGACTGGTGTTGCTTTATAATAAGTCTTAAAATCAGAACGTGTTCACTTACCAACATTCTTTTTTCAAATCATTTTGATTTGAAATCTTCATTTTCTACCAGAAGTCTGCCAAAATTTTGATTGTGTTGAATAAAAAGATCAATTTGGGGAGCGTTGACTTAATAATAATTGAGTTTTCTAAACCATAAATGGTATGTTTCCCCATTTATTTAGGTCTTATTTAATTTCTCTAATGTTTATGGTTTTAAGTGTTACATACCTTTGACATTTATTCTTAAGTATTTCATATTTTATATTTGAATTTTTGATTGTTGCTAATATATAGAAATGTAGTTACTTTTGTGTAACAATGTTGTGTCCTACAGTCTTACTAAACTCATTCATTAGTTCTGGTAGCTTTTTGTAGATTCTCTGGGATTCTCTTGATGGTCTGGACATTGTGATAGAAATTTTTTCTGGCATAGAATTCTAGACCTAGAGTATCTTTCTTTTCTGTACTTCAGTGCTGTTCCTCCACCTTCACTCTGCTTGCGTTGTTTTCCCGTGAGTCTGCCCATCCTTTTTTCCCCTCTGGATTCTTTTCAATGTTTTTTCTTTTCATAGTTTTGAGCAATTGGTTGACGTATGCTGGAGTATTTTATTCACATTTCTTAGGCTTGTTGAGCTTCTTGGGTTCATGGTTTATAACCAGTTTTCCGGCTATTCTTTTCACAAATATTTTCTATCGTCTTATCCCATCATCTATGCTCTCAGTTTCCGACCAGTAGACCACTTGAAGTCCCTCCACCTTGCCCATACGGTTCTACTCCTCTTTTGAGTCTTTCTCTGGGCTTTAGTTTTGGGAAGTTACTGTTGCTGTGTCTTTTCAAATTCACTCATCTTTTTTCCTGCATTGTCTAATCTGCCATTAATCCCATCCAGTATAGCTTTCACTTCAGATGTTACTTCTCATTTCTAGAAATTTGACATTATAATATCTTCTGTATTTTTTTTAATTGTCTCTTTGGAAGAGTTACACAGAGAGGTAGAGACAAAGAGGTCTTCCATCCACTGGTCCACTCCCCAAATGGTCACAATGGCTGGAGCTGAGCCAATCTGAAGCCAAGAAGCCAGGAGCCGCTTCTGGGTTTCCCACATGGGTGCAGGGACCCAAGGACTCGGGCTATCCTCTGCTGCTTTCCCAGGTGCATCAGCAGGGAGCTGGATCAGAAGTGGAGTAGCTGGGACTCAAATCGGCACCCATATGGGATGCCTGTGCTACAGGTCAGGGCTTTAACCCATTGCTCCACAGCGTTGGCCCCCTGTGTCTCTTAGTGTTCTTTCCTCTAGTTTTTTGAATGTATGAAATACATTCATGAGAACAGTATTGTGACATAACAGGTTAAGTTGACACTTGCAGTGCCAGCTTCCAGTATCAGAATGCCAGTTTGTGTCCTGGCTGCTCCGCTTCTGAACCAGCTTCCTGCTAACACATCTAAGAAAGCAGAGGATGATGGCTCAAGTACTTGGGCCCCTATTGCCCGTGTGAGAGGCCAGGCTGGAGTTCCTGCCTCCTGGTCTTAGCCTGACCTAGATCTGGCTATTGTAGCTATTTGGAGAGTGAACCAGCAAATGGAAGGTTTTTCTCATTCGCTCTTAGTCTCTCAAATAAATCTTTTTTTAAAAAAAAAAATGAAATATACTTGTAACTTTTAGTTTTCATAACTTCTCATTCCGATAACCTGTGTCAGTTTTGGGTTATTCTGATTTTTTCCTCATTGCGGGTTATGTTTTTCTGCTGCTGCTTTGCATGCCTGGTAGTTCTTGAATAGATGCCAGACATCGTGAATTTTACCTTTTTAGGTCCTGGCTGTTTTTGTATTTCTATAAATATTCTTGAGCTTTGTTCTGGAATATAGTTAAGTTACTTGGAAACAGTTTGATCCTTTTGGGTCTTGCTTTTACGATTTGTTAGGCAGGACCTGAGCGGTGTTTAACTTAGATCCAGTTATGCCCTTCAGAGTACTCTACTCTGTGCCCAAGAATTATGAGGCTTTCCAGTCTGACTGGTGGGAACAGTGTCCCAGGCCCTATATGAGCTTTAGCTACTATTCCTTCCAGCCCTTGTGTGTGGTTTCCTCACAAGCACACCCTGATCCGGACTCTGCTGATTCTGCACAGCAGGACATAGAAAGCAGTTCTCCCCATGCCAGTGCTTGCCCTGGCCCCCCGAGATTCTCAGCTCTGTCTCTTCAGTTCAGGGAGTTGGCCAGGCTCCGGCTGGGTTCCTCCTTCTTGCTCTGGGGTCTAGAAACTCTCAAGACAAGTAAGCTGGAGCAATTGTAGGTACCGCCTTCTTTGCTTCCTGTCTCTCAGCAACCATTGCTGTCTCTGTTGCTTGATATCCAGGGCTTTATTTGAAACATTGTTTCACCATGATTTTCATATATTTTTGTCTCAGGTTTTAGTTGTTTTAAGTGGGAAGATAAATCTGGTTCCTGTTGGCCGGAAGCAGAGCTTAACTATTTTTAAATTGTGACGTTATGTGCAGAGAACACACATAATTATCTTGTAAAATCTCTCTCGGGAGCCAGAAATCAACCTGAGCAGTATATGCCAGCTCCAGCTTTCCAATTTAGTTTTTGGAACAGATTTCTAAATTTTTGCACAAAAGCCAAAGAGCAGTTGACATAATTGTTTGTTAGTCCTATATTTTACTGAGAGAGGAAGGGGAAAAAATCATTTTTCCCTGCCTAATGAGTGTCTGGCTATTATATTATTTTTGAAAAGTCCAAAATAATATTTGACAAAAAAATCCCTTTAGAAAACAATCTTATTTAAGTGATCCATGTATGTGTGCTCTTAGCCTATGAGAAAAATTACCCTGCATAGAATTGTCCATCTCTTATTTCAAATGATGCTCCATATTTACAGTTTTCTCAACTCTTGTTGCTTATGAATCAGAAGACCTTTCATCAGAGTTATAGTCTTGAGAGTCATGTAGATGTTACTTAGGAAAATCATAATCCCTTTCCTAATGCGATATTCCCTTCCTGTTGCCAAGAAGTTGTCCCTACAATAACAGCTCCCAGTAAAAGATCACGAACAAACATTTTCACTTTACACTTTCACTAAATCTCCATTGGTAAGAGATAATTTCATTTTAGGACTCGTAAGGCATTTTGACTGCACAGGAAATTTGTGCCTATTTGGGCGTAGGAATATGAATTATAGCATTGCTTGCAGTAGCAAAAGACAGATGAAAAAACTAGACATCTTTCTATAGGAGACTAGTTAAATAAACTATAGCATAACCAGCTAAAGAATAAACAGCTCTAATGTGTGCTGCAAAAAGAGCAGAGATCCGTGGTACCAGTATACATACAGGCTGATCATCCCAAGGCTGTCTCATGAAGAACCCATGAGAATAAGAAACTGGTAACAGCAGTTGCCCCTGGGGAAGAGAACTGAGCTGAGGACGGCAGGGAGAGATTCTTCACTGTATACTTTTGTGCTATTGACTTTTTAAAAACCAGGTAATGTTTTAATGTTCAAACAAAGCCCTGTTCTTAAAAAGAAGAAAACCAATTCTTCTTGTTTTGACATCTCCAATAGGAGTGACCGACACAGGAATTGCCCTATTTGTCGCCTGCAGATGACTGGAGCAAATGAGTCTTGGGTAGTATCAGACGCGCCTACTGAAGATGATATGGCTAACTACATACTAAACATGGCTGATGAGGCCGGCCAGCCCCATCGGCCATGACCTGGGGAGAAGATATGCTGCCGTTGTGGGCTACACCTGCTTTGGTCATGGAGGAAGAATATTGTGGCACAGATACAGCAAAATACATTTCCCCACCTTCTTATTTTTGCTATTCTCACAATATGTCCCATGTTTTTTATAAACGCTCCATGTCTTCCATTATTCAAGCTAAAATTTGCTACTGTTTTAGACCCTGTTTATTTGTTCTAAAGTGTATTAGAACGAACTGCTCTTGAATCCTCTGCTAGCAAGTAATAGCAATATTTCCAGAGGCCTTGAACACAGTCTTTCAGGGCAAGAGTATTCTGGAATCTTTAGGTCTAAAATAAACCTTGGAATTAAAATTTTTATGAGAAAATGTTAAATAACAAAATGGACCACATCAAAGTACGTGTTACTTAAAATTTTATCTTTCTGCTGGACTCTAAGGAGTATGTATGCCCCCTTGTGGTTAATTATTACTTTACTCACTTTTACTTGAATGATCTATCCACAGTTAATTCATGGCTTCAGCAGTGTGTTTTGGAGCTACCTGTTTTTCACTTCAAAAGGTGGTGGTGGTGGTTTTTGCCCTGTTGTGTGAACGGGACGAGTACGGTGGAGCCGGGCAGGCCTGCCTGTGAGCAGACTGCTCCGGGCGCCTCTCCTCACTGCTCCGGGAGTGTCCCCACAGCTGGGCCACCGTTCTCAGGGCTTCTGAGGATGCTCACACACGTGGAGTTTCAAAAGGAAATTTTCCCTCATCACAAACACTAAGTTTTACATTCAAAGTCATTCACAATATTGGTTTGTGGCACTCGTATTTTCTCAATTTGAAGGGGTGTTTCTGAGTTTTCCTAGCCCTCAAATTTCATAGATTGAGAGGAGAAAATAAGTGAGGCTTTTCTTTTACCATATACTATAAAACACCTCTGAAAATTACTAATGTGGCTTTCTTACTGTTTACTTCTTTGAAAGTCTCTGAAAAAAATATATCTGCAGTAGCACATCAGCCATTTTAAAAAATTTTTGTCTATTATTAAGTAAAATTTTTAACATTAGCATTTAAGTATATAATAAAACTAGGGCCTGACATCTCCTTTTAACTTTCCATGTAACTTTCCTGACCTCCTTCTGATAACTTACAAATATTATTTTCCTAAATACCCAGGGATACAGTTTAAATCACTGCTTATTAATGACAGTTTTTAAATGCTAGACTTTTAATAGGTGTGCAAATAAAACCCATTTCAAAGAAAAATATCTGTATAAAGGTAGCTCAGTTTTGCTCCCGAAATAGTAAAGTTAACCCAACATTCATGATGAGGACTGCTAAGCACCAAATGGTTAAGTGCTCACTATGGATATTGATGTTATACCAATGTAGCAATGCACTTGTTGGTTGTGTGATCTTGAGAAAGCTGCTCATATTTGTAAGTTCCTGCTTTAGGAACTGAGATGTCATCTGTGGTTTTCCCAACATTTCAGCACTGGAGCCTTCCCCCTCCCTGCCCCAGGTAAAAATCTCATATAGAATCATATACACATGGATATACACACACCCTATCCCACCATATATAAAAGATTTCATGAGCCCAGCTTTTCTCATATCAACTTTATATACTGTAATAGCTAAGTATTAAGTCAGCCAATGAAAACAGAATAAAATGTTGTAACGTAATACAAGTAACAAGTTTGTATGATGGGAATTAATTTTCTTTTTCAAAAAATGTTGCTTTTTTTTAATTCAGGTCAAATTTACAGAACCCTGGATTTCCTCCACTAATTCTTGGTATTCCATGGAAGGTGATTTGGAAACTTTGAGAGGGAGGATCCTCTGAGACCTTTTCTAGCTCTAGGATCTTCAGTTATCATTTGGAATTAGACCTGCTGAGTTAATTCAGATCACCTAACTTGAAAATGCTCTTGAAAATGCACAAAGTTCCTTTACAGGTTTTTGGATCTTTCCAGATACAGCAAAGGATTTTATCCCTCAGAATCATTCATCTGTCAAGGAATTGTTGGTCAGCAAGCCCAGTGACTTGATCTTGCCCGGCCTTCTTCACTTTACAATATGAACTCCAAGACACTAACTGATCTACTGTGAAGTACAAAGTGTTTTTCTTAGCCTTATCAAAGAAATGAGCACAGTTCTCTCTCACTCCATTAAACTGGGTGGTAATTCTTAGATGTGAATATTGGGCAGGTTCTACTGTAATAACTAATGGTGAAAGTTGTAAATTTGTTTCATAGATGAAATGTGCACTCTTTGTAAAGCTTTGTCTTTTTTAAAATCAAGTATTTAAATGCACTTACTATGATAGGAGATATAATGTGTGCCTTCTAGGATTTGTGAAATAGTCTCATGAAATCTAAGGAATTTGTTTTATAGGTCATAAAGTTTTTTTTCCTAACTCAATAGTAAAGAGTTTACTTGTAGTATAATGCTGCAAAACTGTAGCTTGAGAAAATGAGTTTGTTATGTACTGAATTTAGAGGTTGAGAATATTAGTTTGGTTTTATTCTTAGAACAAACTGATAAATTGTGCAATAACTAATCTTTAGCAAGTAGATTTTAGCTAATTGAAGATTTTTTTCTTACCATGTAATTTCACATTCTTACATACTAAATGTTTATAATCCTTAGAGGACTATTTTATATTGTGCTCTGGGGGGTTGTGATGTTTGTGTGCTGTGTAGAATTCATTTCAAATTGGATGTGATTCCCTATATTTAATATCTATTCAGATAATTAAAAAATTGCTGAACCAAAAGATATTTTCAAGCAACTTAACATTAGGAAAGTTGGGTTCATTAAAAGGCATTTCAATTTGCATTTTCAATTTTTTTCTTAAGCTTACTTCATCTAGGAATTAGAAAACTACTTGGAGATTAGAGAAATCAGTTGATCACCCACATTTATGATGGCAAACCTGGTAATATAAGTAGCTAACAGCAGACTCTTGTCTTCATGTCTTTTTGCCCTATTGGACAGTAAAAATAGTCAATAAAATACTCCACCCCTGAGGTAGTTTGATTTCTGCCTTGTAAAATTTCTAAGATACATCAATGTGATTAGAGAGGCATCTTAGAACTGAGAAGAGGAAAGACAAAAGAGGAAGTTGGCAGTTTGTAATTACATTTACTGATGCATATCATCATCATACTATGGGAAAATAGGCATTCTGGTATCAAGACAGAAAAGCCTCCTCAGAGATTTTGATAATCTTGCAGCTGTTTATATTCTAGTCTTGCTCGCGGTCATCCTCCAAGTTACAAATAAGACTTGACTTTAGAGGTTGGAGGTGCAGAAATTTGCTAGGAACTATTTGTGTGATTAGTGTTCTCTTAGTGGAGTTAAATCAGGTAGAGAGTATTTAGGTATACTGCCAACATACCACCTTCCTTTGTGTCTGCAGACCCAGAGAGAAAGGAATGCTCTTTGCACAACACAGCACTCAGGGGCACCTGAAGAGAGAAGAGGCATGTGCTTGAACCCTGCTTTGATCCAAGGGAAAGGTCCCAAGGGGGCCTTGAGAACTACCAACCCAGGAGCTGGGATTAGTGTTCACTAGGGAAAGAGCAGTGACGAACAGCATTTCAAAGATACAAGGTGAAGTAACACATGAACTTGATCCTTTAGGTAAGGGATACCATCCCTTAGAAAAACCGTCCCTTTAGAAAAGTGGGCCAGTATACAAATTGCCTTGGATTCCACCTGTGAACACAAAGGCAGTGATTCACCCCCGAAAGGCCAGTTAAGTGGGATGACAGAATACAAGTGCCCAGAGCTGTAGACGAAGATGCCTGCAAAGCTTGCAGCACAGGTGCAATCCAGCACGTGTTGGCTACACAGACTACAGGAAGGGCCACAGAAGGGTCGATGAACACGTGCAGCTTTGCAGATTAACAGAGCAGTGGTTAGAGAAACAGTGAAGTTTACCTCCTGGGAATAGCGAGCTTCAGTTTGAGTACTGGAGTTTCTAGGGGTGGTCGTCCATGTCCGAGTCACAGATACGTGAGCAGTTACTAATGGCTTTCTGTGATGCCCTGTCAAAGTCAAAGGCTTAAACGTCTGCTTTAAACATCATTAGCTTTAGTTTTAAATTATTGAGCCACAATCCTAAGACTTTATTTAAAAAAAAAAAAAGTGTTATAGATAAAACAATGAAAATCTGTACAATACTTGCTATGTTAGAGCCAATGTTTATAAATGGGGGCTTTTCAAAAAGAATGAGTCCCTAAGATAGGGGTTGCATTCAGTTCTGTAATCCACTGAGAGATGACATCCTTGCCTTGTAAAAAGACTCCATTTACACTTCCCTGTGCTAAACTGACCAGTGGAGGAGAAAGGCATCCTAAAGTCACAGGGTGAGACAATGTTCACGGGCAAAAGTAGGCTTCTCCTAAGTTTGTAATGATCCAAGTGACTTCCTGTGGTTTGCATTTGCCCTCAGAAATAAATACAAAGGTCTTGAGTGGCTTGGAGCTAGGAGCACATATCCTTAAAAAGTTACCAAAAAAGGAAATTGTTAGTTGGTATACATTTATTGAGCACCTACTACATACTAGGCACTAGTAACACAGATGAAGAATACACTGATAAAGCTTAAATTCAGGATAGGTCTTAAATGCTTTCTACCTGGCCCCTGGGACCATCTGTCTCCTCAAGTCTGCATGTTGGGCAAGGGAGAAGCTGCTTTTTAACGAGATACACCCTGTTACAGTGATTTAAATTTTTTTTTTTTTAAATCTGACATTTGTGAAGCCTAATGGGATAGTAGAGGACTGGATTGGGAATAAGGAAACCTAGTTGTATTGTAGTCTTCCTACTTACTAGCCGTGTTACCTCAAGCAAGTTTCACTTCTCTGGCCCTAACTCTTCCTTGGTGAAATGCTAATTAGACCACAGTGGTAGGGTATCAGAGCCAGTCGGCTCAGAGGTAACCTAGCGCCGTGCTTTTCGGAGTTCCCTAGTTCAAATGAAAAACTGTGAAGCTGGTAGTAGCACAGCTGCTGACAGCCCCCCTGCCCGGAGGGGGCCCCTCGGGGATTCACAGACCACATTTTAAAACCACTGGGCCAGGCAACCCGCACTTTGTGCAGGAGGAAGCCAGCACCCTGCACAGAACAGGAGTGGCTGTTTCAATGCATTCATTTGGCTTCCTAGCTGGAAATGAGGGAGCAAGACTAAAGAAAACAATTTAAGAAATTAATTTTAAAAAAACACAAATGTTTAAGAAGGGAATCTTCTTTTAATTCTTTCCAAGTAGCCCCTTTATGAAAGGGAGCTTTGAGATGGGCTTTAAGGCAGCCAGAGGCTGGAATGAACAACTTCCAATTAGCCTGCAGGGCCTGGAGGGGGGCAGCGTGGCAGAAAATCACACAGACCGTGTATCACTTGGCCTTGTCCTGTGGAAAACCCTGGGCCCAATCATTCAAACAGTGGTGGGTTTCAGGAGGACTATTTGGAAAGTTAGCAACAAGTAGAGGCAGGTGCCCAGCTCCTAGACTTCCCCAAGAAGTCACCATCTCAGCCAGAAATGGTATCAGGAGTGGGCATGGCAGATCTCAAAGTGAACACAGCAGCCGACATCACTAGTCCCAGAGAGCAGAGTCCTCATTCGGTGTCTCGACCACTGCTGGCCACAGCAGACCTGAAACTGAACCACAAAGTTAAGACGCAGGCTGAGGGCTGGGCCTATTTGGCCAGGGCCGTGATCTCTTCTGACTTCATGGCGTCAGACAGAAAGCTGAGCTCATTGCATAAGGTCTCATATCGGAATGCCATCCGGATCTGAGCCACGTTCGTCTTCCGAATATCGTTTCCTTCAGGTCCTTCTTTGTAATAATTTTGTCCCAGAAACTTTTGCTTTTCCTATGGACCGAGAGAAACACAAGTGAAGATGCTGCCGTGGGTTGACTTTCTGTATCCACACAGGCATCCCCAATGTGAGATAGAGCCCATCACACCAGGTCCCCTAAGCAGATTCTCAACCAAGCAGCGCCCCAACCCCACCCCCTGTTCCTCTGTGTCACCGACAGCTCAGTCACTCCCCTCGTTCCTGATCACAGAGGGAGGAGAAGCTGGGGCCGGGAGACCACCTGCCCCTCGGGTGTGCTGTCTGGCTGGAGGACTAACTCCATGCGCAGATGCTGTTCTCAGCATCACCATCAACAGGAGCACAGCCTGCCACAGGCTCTTCCCGCACCAGGGACTTCGCCCAGGGCACGGTTCTCCAGGCTGGTGCCCTACAGAGCTTTGCAAAACCTCCCGCTGCTGAGGGCCCATCGCTAGGGTTTATCTCGCCCAGGCTCTACTCCACTGTTCAAGACACGCCGAGTGCGCCCCCTGGGCTGGGAGATGACTCTGGGCACAGTCGGTCTAGGGATTCATGCTGAACCCCAAACTGGGCTAACAGTCTAGAGGTGGGGACAGAAAACCCAGGGCCACATGCCTATTACAACGTCAGAACAAGCAAATGTGACGAAGGATTGCAGATTAAGTGGACAGGCAGCAACTGCCCACGCTCTAGAGCGGGCAACCAGGGAAGACCTCTGCCCAGAGGTGACATCAAGGAAAGGTCGGAGAAGGGCCAGGGCAGCCACAGAGGTTCAGGAGGCTCCCGAGGGTCTGTGTTTTGTGGCTCAGAGACCCCCAGGGCTGGCAGGCACCCTGCAGGAAGGGCAACACCCTGACGCCATACCTGATGTGAGAGGCCACTCTGCAGCACACTGTTCCTGGCGATCTCACACAGGTCGCACGTGCTCAGCTTCCACACTTGAGCTGCGATGGCATATTCTTCCATCAGAGCTTCCTGGACCCTCCCCCGAAGCACACAGATCAGATGGGAGAACAACCAGGTCATCACACCACACTGGCACAAAGCCAAACACGCCCGACAGCGCCCATCTCCTTTCCCTTTGCCAACTAGCGCTAGATCACACCACTGCAGTGCGCATCCGTTCCAGACAGACCTTTCTGGAGTGAAGTGGCCGGCAGAGGTCACGTAACACACCTCGGCACACTGTCACCATCCACAGCTGGGCACGTAGGCGACTCACCCGGGGGGACACCTCGAGCCACATGCGCTATCTCTCAGTCCCTGCCCTCCAGTTCGGCTTGGAACTTAACACACCACGTTCTACAGGTTGCGCCCAAGTCAAGGTCAAGGTACTGAACCACGAGTGAGAAGCGATCGCAGGAGGAGCCGTGAGAGCACACCATCCCCAGAGCGTGGCTGTGGCTCTGCTTTACTAACTGTGGGATGTGACAGGTCCGCCGTCACCTCTCACCCCACACACCCCACTGCCTGTCTCAGAGCAAGGTGGGGCCCAAGGGCCACTGGCCAACTATGTATCTTTGTGAGGCAAGATTATTTTCAGACTTTGACAGAAACAACAAATGGAATGCAGAAGCAGATAGGAGGGCCCAGCTGTCTCCTATTAAGAACGGTATTAAAGAGATTTGCAAACATGCAAACCAATGCTATTCTTGGTATTTTCATTTTGTTTTTGGAAAACATCGCTATTTTTCATAAAAATTGCTCTTTATGTAACACCTCACTAGGTTTATTGCCTTTTTTTTTTTTCAGAAATAACTAAACATTTTAAGATTCTTCACTCGTTTCTAACACAAAAAGCATCCACAGATAGAGAACTGTTGGTTATGTGCACTCTAAGGGCCTCCATTCCTAAAGGGGCGAGGACCGGGAGGTTGGAGAACCGATGCACTCAAAGACTGATCTCTATTTTTGCTAACCAGGGGCTGCTCTGGAGGTGCCCTCATTGTGGTCCCCATGCATGACATAGCCCTTCCCTGCCTCATCCCTTTTCCTTGGAGACCCAAAGCGTAACAATAATAAGGACAGCAGTCATTAAGAAGGTAGCTAATATGTCCCATCCATGCTGTAGGCACATCCTGCTGTAGACCCTTAAATTCAGCGTCTGGATGAATCCACACAGTAAGGTACAGGTAAAGGCAATTTTTCCCATTATGCAAATGAAGAGGAATACAATATGAAGAGGTCAAACTCAAGGTCACAGAATAGTAAATGTCAAGGACAGAAACTAGAGAAAGGCTAGGACGTGAAATTGTGCCTTCAGGGGTTCAAGGATGCCAAAGAGAAGGCTCCTGGATGAAATAACCTCTCCCCTTCACCAGTGGCTTCCCTCTTGTCCCCCCTGGGCCCCCACCCCACCAAACCAGGAGGGAGCCGTGGATGCCCACAGGTGCTCACCTTCGTGTAGTGGAACTGCATGGGGTCGTCCGTGGACAGGGAAACGTGCAGCCCCTTGTGCAGGAACTCCCGCAGAGGGTTCTTGGAGTACTCGAGGAACAGACTGTTGTTGCTGAGGGGCGACATGGCGATGGGGATCTGGGCAAGGTAGTAGAGGTACTGCAGGACCGGGCTCTGCGAAAGGACCACCGAGCTCACGTCACAGGGGCCAGGGTGGGGAAGGGGGTGCAGCAGGAGGCGGTGGCAGCCATCAGCAGACACCAGGGGTCTCAACAGGGTCCGCCGTCAAGCCTGAGTTCCCTTGACCCAGGACCCCAGCCCCGCCCCGCCCTCCATGCTCCTCTCCCTGCTACATCACATGTGGCCCTCCCTGGCCACCACCCTCCCGCCCACTCTGGGAAGCACGCCCACTTGGCCCAAGCCTGGGGCACACACAGCTCTGGGCACGAGGCATTGCTGACCCCGAGCCCCAGCTTCAGCTCCCTCCTCCAATCAGGTCAGGAGACGCCCGCTGGTGGGGCTCTGCTGCTTTGACTGCCACCACTCCAGCTCCCAGCACACAGGCCCTGAGTGACCGGAAGGGGCCGCCGCGGCCAGGATAGCCTGCTCTTAGGACGGGGCACCTGGCCACCAGAAACGCCATGAGGGCCACCACGTTCCTGTGCACACAACCCAAAATGGGGAGAAGACGACGTGTGGAGTTCGTGGGAGCAGCGTGCCCACGAGTGAGGCAGACAGACGCAGTGTCGGGGACCGGCTGACCCTCACAGCCTGAGTGGCAGACAGCTCATCTGACCCCCATTACAAGGAAGCGTGTGGACACTATGCTGCAGCACAGAGACGCTCGCTCTTCAACGCTCAAGGACAAAGCAGGCAGTGCAACGCCGTGGGCGCTGTCACCCTGATTCTATTATCGTTATGACAATAAGCGCATTAAAACCAGGCTCTGCATGAAAGATGGGAGCTGGGAGAAAGCTAACGGAAGCTTCTATTAAAGGACCAGCGATGCAGGATTTTTATTTCCCTGTTTTTGAACATCGAAATTGTGATGGGTTTGATTATCTTGTTTTCATAATTGAAAACGGAACTGAGAGGACCACAGCCCAGGAAAGAGCCCGGCCCTCCAGCAGCACCGGCCGGGCGGGGCTGGCCGGGCCAGGCAGGAGTCCAGGATGGGCAGTGGCATGGGGAGGGCTCGGTTACCTTCTTGAGGAGCAGCCCGTGGGAAATGTTGTCAGCAGTGAGGAAGGCGGACACCAGGTGCGTGATGGAGCCGGCCTCGCCACAGTGCGGCCGGAACAGGAATGTGCTCAGGCCTCGCTCCCTGTGGGAGGCGGCAGCTCAGGTCAGGAAGACACCCCAGCTCACTCTGCCTCGGCCCACACCTCCAGCCCAGGGGGCACCCTGGAGACTACCCCCAGCCCAGAGCCTCTCACCCCCTCCAAGAGACTACCCCTCCCCCAGCCCAGAGCCTCACCCCCCCCAAGACTACCCCTCCCCCAGCCCAGAGCCTCTCACCCTCCCCTGAGACTACCCCTCCCCCAGCCCAGAGCCTCTCACCCCCTCCCCCGAGACTACCCCTCCCCCAGCCCAGAGGAAAGGGGACATGGAGGTGACGAGACCCTGCTGCGTCCTCTGCCTCTCCTGTCCCACCTCTTTGCTGGGCTTTGCGTCCCACACTCCAGGCCAGCAAGGGCTACGTGGAGTCACAGTCGGACCTCCTGGGTACAGACATGAGCAAGCCAAGGCCCAGAGCCTGATGTGCTGAGTGTCAAAGCCGGAACGAGAAGCCCCGTCTCCAGCAGCTCAGCACAGGGCGGCCCAGTCCCAGCACCAGGCCATCCAGCTTTGAATCACGGCCCCAGCAAGAAAACCTCCATATTCACAAACTCGCACTGGCTGAGCCAGGGGAGCCCCGGGCCCGACAGGAGCAGGCGAGACACAAGACCCATAGGCAGGGCACGGCTCAGGGTCCCGCTGCCCTCGTGTGCCCCATCTCCACATGTGTACTGGGGGCCTGTGCCTGTGAGACCATGCGTGAAGGCACACATGGCTTCAGTGTTTTGCTCCCTGCTGTGTGCCCAGTGCCTACAGGGCTGCAGGACACCAGGTGTTGAAATCACAAATGCCTGTGTGAACACAGATGGTGTAGAGGGAAGTGAGCAGGGGTGTGTGTGTGTGTGTGTGTGTGTCCGTGTTCCCTGCTGCCCTGGGGAAGTACAGGAACACCTCGAGATACACGAGAGTGTCTGGGTGCGTAGGTCAATGTGTGTGGCACGTGTGTTGTGGCGGGCATGCCTGTGTGGCGGGTGTCACATGGACACCTGCCTTGGGAACACTGCTGGGGAGTACCTGTGTGTGTTGAGACACATGGACAGGTGTGCCAGCCCAGGTGTACACACTCGCGCACACGCACCCACCTGCGGAGGTTGTTGAGCACCATGATGTTGGCATACATGTAGTACAGGTAGTAGCTGTAGGGCGGGTTCTGCTCGCTGGTCCAGATGTCTGGGCTGGGGCTCTTGTCCGAGAACATGTGGTCACTGTGCTTGGACTCGTCATCCACGCTGTCGAACCCCGTCACCTGGGCGGGAGGAGAGGCCCTGAGCACGAGGCCAGGCAGGAGCTGAGCCCAGGCTCCGCGGGCTCACAGCTGCACTCCAGGGGCCTCCCAGGCTCCCACCCTGCCTGCGACATGGAGTGGGTACGACGCCATGGTCTGTTTCTCTAGGACTTCCCAAGGTGCCCCGGAGGCCAGGCTGGATGGTGCCGAGCCCCCTGTGACAGTGGCGGACACTCAGGCCAGGCCAGCAACCATACCCTCTGCCCATCCCTCTGCTGTGCCAAGGCGACCAGCGCTGAGGGGACAGCGGCCACGGCCGTCAGCAACACGGACAAGCTGTGAGGGGAAGGGACGCTGCAGCACGCATCTGCTGTACAGTGGGCCCTGCCAGAAGCCGTCACACAGACGGGCTAGGGCCGCAGGCCGAGCAGCCCTGCAAGCTCATTCTGACACGTGGGCAAACCAGGCCCGGGGTGAGAAGTCACCAGGAGAGGCCCCCGTCTCAGCTCATACGGGCTCCGGCTCTGGCCTCTTTGGGGCTGTAGTGGGAGGATGGCCTGGTGCACATCCAGGCACGACTGTGAGACACCCGCAGGTACCTCACAGACCAGGAGCCCATGGCGGGGCCGTACCAAGGCCCCGGAGACCAGGCTGCCATCCAAATCTCCACTGGGAGCCGCCTCTGAGCCAGCCCCAAGGCACCTCGGGAAACCCCACTCTGCCTGCAGGGCCCTACACCGGAGGCCCTGGGCTGGGCTCCGGGGGCCTTGTGGCTACTTCTGGAGGTCAAGGCCCAGCCACGAGCGCCCCTGCCGAGCACACGGCTCTCAGCCTGCACGCGGGGCTGTGGGGACCTCCCTCCTACTCAGCAGCATCAGGGCTTTGGGAACCGGCTCTGTCCAGCGAACAGAAGGGAGAAAGGCTGCACCTTACCTTGCAACTGACCCATGCTGGGGCTCCTGGCCAGGCTCCAGACCCTAGCCACGTCTACAGCCCCTCTGCTTCCAGGAGAGCCAAGCACCACAGGGGTCTTGGCCAGAGTCTTCCCTTGTCACAGAGGCCCCCACCCCACCCCAGACAGGTCTGGGGGCCAGAAAGGACCTTCAAGGGTGCTCTCGCTCATATGTCACTGGCATGGGGACAATGCCAGCCCCTGTCCTGAGCTCTACCCACCCAAGACTGGATGGGATTCCAGTGATACTCTCCTAGCTTGCTGATCGCTCCGCTTTAACCTCTGCATGTGCGGATCGGAGCTGGCAGCCGCCCAGGGCTGCCAGGAGGATTAAGGAGAGGGTCCGTGGAGAGGGAGCACCCCCGCAGGCCGTGAGTGACCCTGCAAGGATGGCGGGGTGCCTGTGCAGAGGTGCGGTGCCAGGCCAAGCGGCAAACACTCCATCAGCGCCAACCCTGAGGTCACGCGTGCTCCCGCCATGGTCTGCAGGGCTGCTGAGGCAGGAGCCAGCCTGGCCAGCCCCCACCCCATGGCCAGCAACTGTCCCTGAGGAGGTGGGGACGTGCCCTCCCTGGCTGGTGGGGAGCTGGGGGTGGGGGCAGCACCTTGAGTTTATAAACTCAGCATCTGAGTTGCAACCCCATGCGCTGGTACAAGGGGGCGGGGCCTGAGAAGGGAAGCCCCGTGAGTGGCCAGGGGGACACCGGGCTCCCGCTTGCGCACGGCCCACCCACACTCACGTATTTCAGGAAGAGGTGAAGCTCTCGGTGATCTTGAGGGTCGATCGTGGCCTTGAACAGGGGCAGGAAGATGTTCTCCAGCATCTTCCCAAAGTTCGGCAGCAGCTTCTTCGACCTAAATATGTCACTGGGGCAGTGAAGACGGGCTTACCAGAGGGAGCCAATGGCTCCGTGGCCTGAGGGAGCCCGCCCCTCACTCCCCCAGGCAGCCCGTGTCCCCGTTAAGTACCCAGAGCCACCTCAGTCAAGGCCTTTCTCCCCCACTCCCAGCCATGGCTGCAACACTAGGCAGCCGGCCGCGACCCAGCCACCTGCCCACACCTGTGGGAGCCCTTGCTCAGACCAGGGCCCTGTAGGGGGAGGGGCAGTGGGACCTAGGGTCCGAGAGACGAGTCCTCACATTTCCGGGAATCCAAACTCCCCAGCCCTCAGCTCAGGTTCCCACCCCCACCCTGCGCCACACGGGCCAGGCACCTGGAGGACGACACACCAGCAACGTGGGCCACTCCCAGGGCACCGCCCCCCCATGGCTCACCCCAAGGCCAATGCGCCCTCAGCCTGCAATGAGAAGGTGGGGTAAGGAGTTCCTCCAAGGCCGTGTCCTGAGGACGTCTTTGCCAACCACCCCTCCCAGTGCAGGCACAGCAGCCCGCCTCCAGGGGCCCGGGGGTCACGCCCTCACGTACTAGATGCGGGGCACCTGGATGATCCAGCGCATGTTGGGTGAGTAGACCTTGTGCTGGATAAACCAGCGGGCCAGGTTGGGCCACTCCTCCGGGCTGCGGCCGTAGATGGAGAGTCGTGGCTCTGAGTACTGGTACTTGCTCTCCTCCAGCTCCCGGGCCACCTCCTAGCGCCAAGAAGAGCCCAGCTCAGCCCAAGAGCAGCCCAGCTGCACAGGAGACGCCCAGCCCCAGCCCTGCGTCACCAGCTGGGTCCTCGGGCTGCCTCAGCCACCTGCCTCCAGCTGGGAGGGCCACTCTAAGTCACCACAGCTCCCTGCTGCCCGCTGAGCACTTGGTGCACCCCATGGCTCTGAAGGCCATGGGTCTGCACTGCCATGCTGCAGACCCAGGCCCAGCTTAGCTTAGCAGAGGCATCTCGCCACGGAGCAAACCTGCCCCCAGCCAAGGTCAGGCTGCAGCCAGAGAGCCAGGGCAGCAAGCCAGGATGCGGTGAGCTTTGCCAGGATGGATGCTCTCCCCTCCTCTTCCCTGCAGCCAGCACGTGCAGCACCGGCCTCCCTGCATTCAGGATAGGGAACACAGGAGGGGAAGGGGACAGGAGGTCACACAGACCCCCCACGCTCTGCAGGCAGATGCCGTGGGGTGCCTGAGGAGGCCTGGGAGGGGCTGGGGCTCACTCACCTTGACCATCCGAGCAAAGTACTCTCCCCCCAGGTAGTTTTCCGTTTTCAAATACAGGTCCCGCAGCTCGCTGGCCCCCACGGGGTTGTATTTGGAGTTGAACTTGTCAAAGCGATGGAACGTCTGCCGGCCCTGGGGGAGGGGACCACCAGCCAGGTCAGCACACTGTGCTGCTGCCACCACACAAATCCCCCCCCCACAATAAGACAAGGTGGCCACACTGCACCACATCCTCTACGCTGCTTCTTGCATAAAATCCTGGAAATTCCCAAGGGCCAGGACCGGGTATCACCACTTGGTCAGTGTGAGTCCTGAGCCCCTCTGTGGAGCACTAAGGTAGCGCAACTAGGAACATGGCCAGCAGAGGGCGCTAGACTGTCGAGCAACCAATTAAATATTTGCTGTGCTTTACTATTATTTAAAGATTTTATGTATTTATGTATGTATGTATTTGAAAGGCAAAATGATAGAGAAAAAGATATTCCATCCGTTTATTCACTCCCCAGATGACTGCAGCGGCCAGGTATGGGCCAGACCAAAGCTAGGAGCCAGGAGTGCTAGATTGGAAGCAGTCAGGGAGTTGTACCGGCACTCCTTTTGGGATGCTGCCATGACAAGCAGTGGCTTAACCCTCTGTGCCACAACGCCAGCCGCTCCTGTTCTCTCTTAAAGCTGAACACTCTCCCATTGTAGGGCGATGCCATTCACCTGCTGATGGACACTTGGGTTGGTTGGCTGTGGTGAACAGTGCCATGAGAACAGGGGTGTGCCAGTACCCATTCAAGCCCCGGCCCTCAGTGCTCTCGGACGTTTCCTGGGAAGGGAATTGTTGCATCACACGGTAATTCACCTGTTAACTTTCTGAGGGAGCACCAGGGTGTTCTCCACAGCAATCGCACCACCATTTAGTGTTTTAACAACCTTGTGGAGTTAACAGGGCACGTGGCTGTCACCATCTTATAAGCAAGGAAAGGAGAGCTGTAGGGAGTTGCTTAAGGGCATACAACTGTGAAGTGGCACAAGTGGGATTAGAACTCACACCTATCTGACCCCATGTTGCACACTTGGCCCCACGGCAGCTCCCGGCCCTCTCATTCTCCCCACCCCCCCACCTCCATGGCTAGCAAAGGAAGAGTGGCTCCAGCAGCCAGCGTCTCTCTGAGTTGTCGGGGCCAAGACCCCAGCCATGGCTCTGTCTGCTGCGGGCAGGGCTCACTCACCGCGTGCACATCCAGCGAGTCCACGGTGAGGTCGTAGGGGTCCATGTGCAGGCTGTCGAACACCTGCCGCAGGGTGATCTTCCGACCTCGCTTCTCGGCCACCGTCCTGTCGGGCTCCGTCTGGTACGTGTGCTTGATGAAGCGCAGCAAGTGCTTCTGGTTCATGCAGGCCGCCGCGTGGATGTGCGTGTCCACCTGGAACGCAGCGCCCGCCAGCCCGTGAGCCAGGCCACCTCCTCTGTCTGAGCCCCGGGGGAGCCAAGGCCTCAGCACCTTAGGGACCACATCAGTCCCACCAACAACTGGACCCTGCCCCATGGCTCCTGTAGACCTTGGACCCCGTCTCCTTCCCTTCAGTCTCGTAGCCAACCCACGTCCTGACAGCATGAAGAGATCTAAGTGGAGACTGGACCAGGCCAAAGGACCCATGACCCCCAACTTCCTCAAGCAAAGCCCAGGGCCTCAGCCTGGGATCCGAGGTTTACTGCAAGCTTGAACTCTCACCTTGCCGCGGCTCCATGCTGTGCACCAGGCCCCAAGCTGTGCCGCACTGTGTCCCTGGGCCGTGTGCTTCCTCAGCCTGCGACGCCTCCCCTCTTCCTTTGCCCCATTTCCTTCGCCCTCCTTTGCTTGGATGCCAGTCCTGATGCCCCAAGCACAACTGCCTGCTCCTTCCCTTGCTCATAGACACATGTCCCAGTGGCCACTGCTGCACGTCTCCTAACCAGCCCCAGTCCCCTTCTGTAAACTCCTCCACTAGTCTGACCACGTCAGGTGCACCTGAATCTCAGTGCCTATCCCAGAGCCTGGTACAAGGTATTAGAGAATGAATGAATGAATGAGCAAACAAATGGCAGAATAAGGGAGCAGGTGTGGTAGGTTCCAGTTGTTCCAATGATACCTACATCCTCCTGTAGCCAAGGGGCCCCCACCAAATAAATGCCCCACTCTTCTCATCAACCCCAGGAGCCCCCCAGAGCATTCCCAAAGCAAACCCCCTCCCAGTAGAGGTGAAGAGGGCAGCCACTTTCATCTCCACAGCAAGCTCCACCTCCCCAAACCCCAGGAGACAGCAGCTCTGCTGCCCGAAGCCGACACGCTGCCTCGGGCTGTGGGGCCCAGCACCCAGGGTCTCAGAGCAAATCCTAAATTGCAGAAATGCACAGGGCTCTTGGGACTTCCGACGCTCCATGGGAAGGCAGATCATCGCCGAATGCCCCAGAAAGAAGCCCTGCAGGGTCTCAAAATACCTTGTGGGAGTTTTCCCAAGTGCTGGCCGAGAGTGCCCTCCCTGCCTGCCTCTCCTTCCCAGCCTCCCAGCTGGCTCGCCCTCCCCGCTGCCCTCCCCACACCGGCATTTCTTCAGCTCTGCCCTGGGCCCCTCGTCCTCTCACCACCCACCAGCTCCAAGGCTATCTGATCTCCCTGTGCTTCCAACCACCTTCTTTGTATCAACAACGCCTACATTTGTGCATTCGCCTGAAGCTCCAGGATTGTACATGAACCTGCCTACTTGACATCTCCCCACTAGTGGTTCAAACTGAACGGATCCACAAACGGATGCTCCAGCCCCGGCCCCAGCCCAGACTGAGTCTCCCAGGTTTCTGCATCCCAGGAGATGCTGTCCTACACCCAGCTGTTTACACTGAAAACGACTAAAAGCAGAAGGACTCCCAGAGAAAGGGAGACCTTTCATCTACTGGCTCACTCTCCAAATGTTCCCAACTGCTGGGCCTGGGTCAGCCCAAAGCCAGGAACTCCACATGAGTCTCCCACAGGGGTGGCCAGGACCCAAGGGGACCATTTTCCACTGTCCTGGTGAGTGCATTAGCAGGCAACTGGATTCTAAGTAGAGCAGCCGGGACTCAAACTGGCACTCCAACAAGGGACGTGGGCGTCCCAAGCAGGGGCTTAACGCACCATGCCACACCCTGACTCCCCAGAAGACACTCTCGACCTTCCATTTTCCCCTCTTGCCCGCTGGTCAGTCCCCCCAGTTCCACCTTCCCAACAGATCTCAAATCCACACCATCCTCTCCAACCTCACAGCCACTAGAGTCCCAGCCTGCATCTCTTACTCTGGAATTCACAGTGACCCCCCAAACTGCTCTTGCCACAGTCTGTCTGGCTCAATCCAGTGTCCCACACACAGAAACTGGAATAGATTGTTTTAAATGCAATTTGAGGGGCTGGCGCTATGGCATAGCGGGTAAAGCCAACATCTGTAGTGCCAGCATCCCATATGGGCACCAGTTTGAGTGTCGGCTGCTCCTCTTCCAATTGAGCTCTCTGCTATGAACTGGAAAAGCAGCAGAGAATGGCCCAAGTCCTTGGGCCTACACCCGCGTGGGAGACCTGGAAGAAGCTCCTGGATCCTGGCTTCAGATCAGCACAGCTCCAGCTATTGTGGCCATCTGGGTAGTAAACCAGCAGAAAGAAGACCTCTCTCTGTCTCTGCCCCTCTGTAACTCCACCTTCAAATAAATAAATAAATCCTTTTAAAAAACTGCAATTAGATTCTCTTACTCAACACTCTTCCTTAATCTTAGGCTGAGGCCCGTTAATGGCAGGTGGTCCCCTCCCCTCTCTAACTCCTGCATCTCAACACTCCCTTTTCCAGTGTGCCCCATTCACAGGACAGCCACCAGCTCTAAAGAAATAGAGCCCTGGCTAAGCCGAGGGATGGCCTGCAGCTACGGGTGGGCATCCTGAATTCCTTTCCATGAGCCAGGGGGTCCTGCGGGAGGTCTCTGTGGAGGGAGATGGCAGCCTCACAGGCCAGGGTGCCACCAGCCCACACTCTGGGTTACTGCAGTGGCTGACTGGGCGCTCTGTCGGGACTGGAGCGGGGACGTGGCTGACCTCAGGCCAGGGAATGCTGTCCACAGCTGGTCGGCCACCTCCAAGGCATGCCAAGCCAGACATTTGATCCACTGGGCCTCTCTGAGCATCGTACCAGCCAGCCCATGTCGTCAGCCACGTCACTCACTGCCCAGGGTCCTTCCCACCCTCACTCTGCCACTCCTACCAGACACATGGGCATCAGTGAAGGGAGACAACCCGCAGCAGCGCAGGGCTCAGCCGCCCCAGGGAGGAGCCGAGGATGCACACGAGGTCTGTTGGCTCAGCTGGACACCGCCTGGCTGGGCTGCCTCAGCGTGACTCAGCACATTCTGGGCTTTCTGGCCAAGTTCTCCAGCATACCAATGACACAGCACAGGGGGCTCAGCCTGTCCTTTCCCCCTGTGAGTCACCAGATAATGGAAGACTCAGCTGGACGATTCAGGAAGCACCCAATCCGAACATCAGGGTTCCAGAGGCGGTCACAGGCAGTGTTTCCTGCTCTAAGACTGTTTACTTCTGAGGTGGGGCCCCAGATTCAGGGACATGGCCTGCCTTCACCACCCATCAGGTCTAAACAAAGACAAGAGTCTCCACACAGGGCTGGCCAATCCCTGGGACCTAAGTGAACACCGACCATTTCCAAACCCGCAGCAGACATCAATAATCTACTTCAGCACTTGCCTTCACTAAGCTTTGGGAACAGCCTTGTGTTAGCATTCTCGACTGGTCAAGTTTGGCACAGAATCAAAACCCAATTGGTGTCCCTGATGTGACTTTAACCAAAGTAGACAATGTCTGCACCTGCTACCCAACTCCCAAGCAGCAAACACACTGAGCCCTTCTGTCTTAGCTCTGGACAGAACACAAGTGTCTCGGCTCCTGCCCACTGGACCCTATGGTGGCATAACCCCTCACCTGCCACGGCCCTGCCACAGCTGCTACCCTCAGAGCAGAGCCCGGCTGCTCCTGTGACAGCCACCTTGGAGTCATCCCAGCCTGTTCTAGAATTCTGAAAGCTACAGGACAGGCTTTGAGGGTAAGGCCACAGCCAGCACCCAGGAGCATGCTTTCCCCTTACCCAGAGGGGCAAGCACAGACCTGGTTCACGCAGACCTGGGCCCATGTTTGTGGACTGGCCATGAGGCCAGAGAATGGAGCACTGTGCATAGCTCAGGTGTCCAGGCTATTTCCGCCCAGAGAGCACATTAACCCCTGGACCAAGATATCTCAAGGACCAGTTCTGATTTCCAACCACAACTCTTGCCCATGCCACAGCCACAGAGCAGCTGGTGGCCCAGGAACACCCAGCGGGGCCCCAGCTCAGAAGAGAACAGTATGAGAGCCGGTGCAGTCGGCACAACTCCAGGCCCCAGGACACAGGCCCAAGCAGGGACGTGTCCAGATACAGGCTGCACGGGTCTACACAGGGAGTCCCCAGGGACGATCTCTGGACACACGCCGGGCACGGAGGTGCTTCAGGCAGGGCTGGGAGGAGTTCATGTAGCGACCGAGGCACCCACGCCCCAAACGCCACAGGCTCGCAGAGGAGGAGCAAACACTGCTGGGAGGAGCTGTCCACGACCTTTCACCTCTGCGTGGAAACCCCCAGAGGCCATCATCCACCTCTCAGAGCCACTGAGTGGAAGCCAAACTCCCTCTTAAGACTCTTGATCCTATCCAGAGGCGTCCATGTAGGGCCTCCTGCCCCATAACAGAGGTGGTCTTGGGGTTCCCTGGAGGGGGCCCTGCATCTCCATTGCTGAGTGCTCCGGTCAGGGGTCAGGGGTCAGGGAGGCTGAGCTGCGCTCTCCCAAAGCAGCCACATCCTCCCCTCCCTATCGAAGCTGGTGCCAGCAAGAGACAGTCCCCAGAGGTCCCACCTGGGAGAGAGGGCCCTAGGGAGACAACATCCCACTGTTGGCTTAGGTCCCAGGTACAGGACTCAGCCCAGCCCCATAGTAAGTAAACCTCACCCTCCCCCCACTTCTGCCATGTGCCAGCTCACTCCTAGGGCCTGCCCCCCCTTCTCAGAGGAAGCCCTGGGCCCCTGCACCATCCAGAACCTCCCCTCCCCATACTCCAGCACCGCCCTTGGCCTCACACTGGAGCCCCAGCCACACCACACTACCTGCCACTCTGTTGACACGCATCTTAATCTCTCTCACCTCTGTCAACGGTCTCGCTGCCTCCTGGCATTTGCACACACCATTCCCTCGCCAACCCCATCGCCACCTGGCTAAATCCTACTCAGCCTTCCGGTGAGCTCAGCCACCTCATGACAGCACTTCTCACCAAGGCAGGGGGACCTCTGGCAGCCAGGAAACAGCCCGTGCTCAGCACTGATCCTGTTCTTCCCTGTATGCTGCTCCACGAGGAGGGCAAGGAAAAGCTGGAGGCCACCCTCGCAGGGCACACACACACCCGTCCCAGCCACAGCCCAGCGACAGAGGCTGCCAGGAACCCCGGCCAACCTGCTCGGGGGGGTTGAGCACGTGGGATGCTGTTTATGAAATACACCACAGGCTCGCTCCACAGTCAGTCTCAAACATCCACCCTGGAAGTAGTCCGGGCTCAACGTTCTGATCAGTGGGCAGGCTGTGCCCTGTGTCCACAGCACGGACAGGGGTCTCCGCCTAGAGTGGCGAGTTCCATCCGAGGATGGCCTGATGCAAGGTGCGCATCCTGCTCCTCTGGCCAGGAGCCCTCACCGCCTCCCAGCAGACAAGGCCCAGGGCAGCCCAGGGGCTGGGAGGGAGGGTGCGAGGAGGGGGCCGCTCTGCCCACCTTTCTCACGTTATAGAAGTCTCGGTGGGGGTTACTCTTCAACTCTTTGAACTCAGACATCTCATTTAACATCTCGTGAAGGCTGAACTTGGATTCCAGAAAGTTCAGTCGCCGGTGACAATAAGTTTTCCTGCAGGTAGGGGGAGGGGGAGAGCGCACAGTTGAGCAGAAGTGGTGCCACCGCCAAGCTCTGCAGTACAGCGTCGTTAGGTGTGTGCGGGGGCAGCCCTGGGGGGGAGGGGTCGGACGCCTGCAGGATGGAGCCGGGAGCAGGCAGCAGGCTCCAGCTGCCGCAGCTCTGGTCACACGGTCACCCACACCTGTGTGCTCTGTAAGCAAGCAGCATCAAGCTCGGGCACTAAGAACCTCCTCAGGACCTCACCCAGGCTCCCTGGCTCCTGGCCATTAACCTTGAGCCTCTGTTTCCCATGAAAACACACCAACGCGGTAACACCCAAGGCTGAAGGGAGGCCAAACCGGGCTATGCCTGCCAAAGCGCCTGACTCTGAGCACCACGGACACCCCATAAGTGTCCTCCCTCATCCTCTCCTCCCCCTCCTCGGCCTCCCTTAGTCAAGGGTGCAGTCCAGCTACCAGGCAGGCCCTGTCCACCCCAGGGCCCAGAGGCACCAACCACACCTGACCACGTCCCAAGGATGCGACCTCAGCACAGGAGGAGGTTCTGCATCACGGGCAGACTGGGGGCCTGCAGCTGCTTGTTACTAGGGCAGATGCCCCCAAGGTCCCTCTGCTCGGAGAAGGTGCCACGGGTAGAGAACTTCGCTCAGACAAGGGCGGGCTGCTCACAGCTGTGGCCACCTGCCGGCCCACACGCACCCAGACTCGGGGCAGCTGGCTTACGTGGGGCCATCGGTGATGAGAGCCAGGATGTGGCTCATGTCCACCGTGTAGGTCTCCAGGTCAGGGTAGGGCAGGCTGTGGGGCTCCTGGCGCTCCAGCATCTTCTTGTTGTCATACACGAACAGGATACCCCCTTGCATGCGGACCAAGTAGCCCAGGTTGGGGGGTGCATCGTCCAGGCAGTACGGGTCCTCCTGGGGCCGTGGGGGAGGGTGGAAGTCTGCAAAACAGGATTGGGTGACGGCCAAGTGCTCAAAAGTCACACTCTGGGTGGAACCTGTCCTGGCCATGCTAAGATCCAGCCACACCCCACCAGTCCACCCTTCACATACCCCCGTGCCTGCTTTATCGTATCTCCTTAGCACTTAGCTCTTTGTAAAATAATCTTACTTTTTAAAAATTTATTTTTAAATATGTATTTATTTATTTTAAAGTCAGAGTTGGAGAGTGGGGAAAGGCAGTGAGGAAGGGGAGAGAGAGATCTTCCAACTGCTGGTTCACTTCCCAAATGGCCACAACAGGCAGGGCTGGGCCAAGCTGAAGCCAGGAGCCTGAAACTCCATCCAAATCTCCCAGGGGTCCAAGGACTTGGGCCATCTTCCCCCTGCTTTCCCAGGCATATTAGCAGGGAGCAGGATCAGAAGTGGAGAAGCCGGGGCTGGAACTGGCACACATATGGGATGCTGGCATTGTAGGTAGCGGCTTAATCTGCTATGCCACAGCAACAGCCCCCGATGATTTCACTTCTTCATCTTGAGTATTATGCAGGGGCATTTCAAAAAGGTCATGGGAAACGGAAATAAAACCGTTGATGTAAAAATGTTTGTAAATGAAATCCATGCATACAAGGAATCTTCAAAACGACTATGAGAAATGTGTATTAAAATGCAGATTATAGGCTGGGGCCACAGCTCACTAGGCTAATCCTCTGCCTTGCGGCACCGGCACACCGGGTTCACACTGGGGCGCCGGATTCTGTCCCAGTTGCCCCTCTTCCAGGCCAGCTCTCTGCTGTGGCCCGGGAAGGCAGTGGAGGATGGCCCAAGTGCTTGGGCCCTGCACCCCATGGGAGACCAGGAGAAGCACCTGGCTCCTGCCATTGGATCAGTGCGGTGCACCGGCCGCGGCAGCCATTGGAGGGTGAACCAATGGCAAAGGAAGACCTTTCTCTCTGTCTCTCTCACTGTCCACTCTGCCTGTCAAAAAAAAAAATGCAGATTATAAAAAAGTACATGGATTTCAAAATATCTTTGCACCAAAGTAAACTGGTCCTTTAATTCCACTTTCCCACACAGTTTTGAAGTCCCCTGGTGTATCAAATAGGGACTTGCAACACAGACAGACTTTGATCCGTGTGGTTCCCTGCTGTGTCCCTGCTACCTCAAACAGTCCCTGGCACCTGGTTGGTACATCAGTCATTTTTTAAAAATTGAATTGAAATAGGCTTCAGCTTCCTTGGTACCTCAAGAATCCCAAGAATGTTAAGGGAGCTTCTGAGGCTCCTCCCAGCAAGAGACGAGACAGCACCTGAGACTGCCCTGTGGGAATCACTGTCCCTCCCAAGCCCAGGGCAGCCAAGGGGCCGGCCCTCCATGGAGCAGCCCAGGTCGGGAACTTCTCTCCTGCAGAGCACAGACGCCAACCACAGAACCACCTGCTCCCCACGGCAGGCACAAGACACCTCTTTGCCATTTACCCCCAACTCTGAGACTCTAAGCAAACCTCTTCACCCCTCTTCATCTGCAGGGAATTGTCCCCAGAGGGTACTGTCCCCTGAGCACACTGAAAGGGGGTGGGGCTCAGCTAGTGATGACGTCTGGTGGGTTGGGTGTATTGGATGCATTTTCCACCTACAGTATTCTCCATTCTATTGGGACATACCCATCGTAAACTGAAGGGCAACCCTATGCTTGCTACTCTCACAGCAAGTTCTCCTGACCTTTGACAATCTTCACCCCTGGCCAAGCAGTGGGCAGACGCTAAACAGCCTGGGGACTTCAATCCCCTGCAGATCAGACAACACCAGGTCAGATCAGCTGCCCTGCTGCCAGCCTGGGAGGAAAGCCGGGCTCCTCAGCAAAGGGAGCAACCAAGGCAGGGGACCTGCCTGGGCGGCCTCCATCGGTGCTCGGGAGAGCTCGCCCCTAGAGCAGACGTGAGGAATCAGCAAGGAGCAGGGCTGGGGATGGATGTCTGACACTGGGCCTGGCCACCAGCCGGCTCAGGAGAGCCTAGTGTGTGCCACAGCTCTACAAGGTAAAGGTCATGGCGACTGCCCAGGTGGAGCCACAGGCTGCACCCTTGGAAGCAGCTCCCCACCTCCTCCCACCCAACACACACTCATGCCCAGGACCCCTCGGCCCTCTGTCTACAGAGGGTACCTATTTAGCAGTCACCCTCGTCATCCCTTGCCCACAGCGAGGCAGTGCAGCCAACTTTCTTCAAAGAGAGGGAAATGGGCCCGGAAGGGCTGAGACTTGCCCAGCACCCCAGTAGTAGCAGGAGCTCGAAGTGTAAGACTTTGAGCTTCAAGGAAGCCAAAGTCAGGGGACAGCTTGGTGCCGGGGTCCTGGGCACCAGTGCAGACCACCAGGCCCTCATCTAGTCCCCACCACCGACTTCCACTCCGAAGCCGACTTCTCCTGTCCCGGGAACATGGTCCCTGTGTCTGCTCCCACCCCAGCCCAGCCTATCACGCGCTCCATGTTTACTGTGGCTGTGCTGTTTGAAACAGCTCACGTGGACCTGAAGATTCCCAAGCTCAGGTCTCTCTCTTGACTTCTTCAGTTCAGCTCTCCCCAGGGCGAGGCACGTGGTAACACGCGCAATCAGTGCTTGGGGGAACAAGCAGCAATTAGTGCCGAAGCTTATCCCTGGGTCCTGCCCTTAAAGCCACCAGCAGCTCTCAGGGCAGGGCCGCCCCCACAGGCCCCCTCTGGCCAGCGCTCCATACCTGGGAGGCCGTCCTCAGGAGGGGCGACGTCCGGGCGTCGGTGGCCCAGGTATTGTGCTGTGGTCCGCGGGAAGCGGTGGTAGGCGAGCCGTGCATACTTCTCCCGGATCATGAGGGCCTTGGCCAGGCTCTTGGCAGCCTGCTCGTAGTCCTCCACGGTGATCTGCAGGGGGAGGCGAGCAGAGCAGACCCCACCTGAGACTGCCTCTCTGCACAGAGCTGCTTGCTAAGTTGGCTTTGGGGACCTGGGTTTCTGGAGGGTGCCCACCTTTCCCTGACGGGTAAGAGTGGTCCCTTGTCAAAAAAAAAAAAAAAAAAACGGCCGGTGCCGCGGCTCACTAGGCTAATTCTCTGCCTTGCGGCGCTGGCACACCAGGTTCTAGTCCCGGTCGGGGTACTGGATTCTGTCCCGATTGCCCCTCTTCCAGGCCAGCTCTCTGCTGTGGCAAGGGAGGGCAGTGGAGGATTGCCCAAGTACTTGGGCCCTGCACCCCATGGGAGACCAGGAGAAGTACCTGGCTCCTGCCTTCGGATCAGCGCAGCGCGCTGGCCGCAGCGTGCTGGCCGCAGTGGCCATTGGAGGGTGAACCAACGGCAAAGGAAGACCTTTCTCTCTGTCTCTATCTCTCTCTCTCTCTCACTGTCCACTCTGCCTGTCAAAAAAAAAAAAAAGAAAACAGTGGTCCCTGTGTCTATGCTGTTTGTCCAAATAATGCAGATACCAATGGAGAGCTGACCTCCCCCTGGCCGTCTGGAATTTGGGGATGTGCTATGCAGGTGTGTGACCAGCTCCGGTACAAAACATGGGTGCTGAGTCGCTAATGAGCTTGTGTGACAGACAACACTGCCCCGTGTGTTGACATGGTTCAGGCTGAGGCTATGTGCTTGCCACTCCCCTGGGGAGGACCCTCAGAAGCTCACACCCAGCATCCTCCCCGGCTTCCTTTCACTGTAATGAATCATGGCTGAGAGCACAGCCATACACCAAGTCCTCCGAGTCCTCCTAGCAGATCACCAAGCTTGGAGGTGGCCCTGGGGGCCGCCACAGAGAAGAGGTGGGGCTGGAGGAGAGGTGCGCTCGGGCCCTCACTCCCAGACACCAGCCCTGCTTGCTGCTGACCCACGAGCCCGCTGCTGCACCTGGCATGGGAAGAACAGAGCCTGAATCCTCTCCCCATGAGGACGGGCACCATCTCTTCGAGCTTAGAATATTCACAGGCCCTCAGATGTAAAACCAGATGAAACTAACTGAACAATTAGGCGGGCAGGACTTGGCATTGTCGTGCAGCAAGTTAAGCCATTGTCTGTGACGCCAGCATCCCACATGGGTGCTGGTTCAAGTTCTAGCTGCTCCACTTCCCATCCAGCTCCTGCTAATGCTCCTGGGAAAGCAGCAGCAGACCACCCTAATGTGGGAGACCCAGAAGGCATTCCAGGCTCCTTACTTCAAGCCCAGCCCCAGCCAACCTTTGCAGCCATTTGGGGAGTGAATCAGTGGATGGAAAAATCTTTCTCTCACTCTCACGATCTTTCAAATAAATAAGTATTTTTAATTTTTTTAAAAGATTTTATTTATTTATTTGAGAGGTAGAGTTACAGAAAGTGAGAGGGAGAAACAGAGAGAAAGATCTTTCTTCTGTTAGTTCACTCCCCAGATGGCCAGAATGGCTGGAGCTGTACCGATCCAAAGCCAAGAGCCAGGTGCTTCTTCCTGGTGTCCCACATGGGTGCAGGGGCCCAAGGACTTGGGCCATCTTCTACTGCTTTCCCAGGCCAGAGCAGAGCGCTGGATTAGAAGAGGAGCAGCCTGAATTAGAACCAGCGCCCATATGTAATGCCAGCGCCGCAGGCAGAGGATTAACCTACTGCACTACGGCGCCAGCCCCAATAAGTATTTTTTATAAAAAGACAACTGTGCTTGCTCAGTGCTGCTTTGCCAGCCCCAGGCTTCTGAGTAAACCTGCTCATCAGGCAGCTCACCCCGTCAGCCACCGTCCTGGTCACAGGTCAGAGACAAGAGCTTCCCATAGACTTGTGCTCTGCATTGCAACTCATTTTACAAATGAGGCCGTGCAAAGAGAAATCGCTTGCCAGGAATTCACGAAGTCGGACTTCAGACTCTGATTTGACTCCCAGGGCCCAAGGGTGTTCAGCTTTCCCAGACCTGCCTCGTATTCAAAGATGGACTTGTCCAGCTTAGTCTGTCTGGAAGGGCAGGCATCACAGAGATCTGAGCGTGCCTGGGGCAGACAGGCAGATAAAGCAGTCAAGGGGACCAAAGAAGGATTACACGACAGAGGCAGGGCAAGACATCAGGGAACACAGCGTAGGGAGGGCTGGGGCCTGAAGCTTCCCTCTCTAATTGAATAAAATAACCATTTTTCATTTTGAAATGTTATAAACATACAGACAAGCACAGAAGATGCCATACCAGTTACCCCTGCACCTGCCTTCGAGAGCTCACGATATTATTATCTTTTGTAATTGTTTCAGCTCATCACCATGGATACAGCTCAACTCCTGCCCCCCCACCCACTCCAGCCTCAGAGGGAGGAGGCTGGTGTCTATCTTTCCCTTGCATGTTTTTATACTTTTACCAAATATTGCACTTTGCATTTTATCCAGGTGGTAGCTGCTTCTTTCCTGCCTCCCAGTGTTCCCATAAAGAATGTAAATTCCATTTTACATCTCCCAGCGGCTGGCTTCTGAGAGCAGCAGCAATGTCCAAGCAACCACAGCCATCTCACACTAAAGTATGTCCCTGCCAACATAAAGCCAGAGAACCAAACACTAGCTCTGTCGAACTCATGGGCATAGCATGCCAAAGGCTCAGGCCACGGGCAAGGATAGCAGAGAGGGTGGCCCAGAAGGCCAGGGACCACCAGCCAAGCCTATAGACGTCACAGTTCCCATGGTTGACCACAAGCCCACCACGTCAGCCTGCTCCTCATGGACACTTAGCATCCTGGAGACTACCTGCCCAGGCCAGAAGCTCCCTGCTCTCCTGTGAGCAAGCAGGAGACTGGCAGAGAGGCCGGCGAACGCTCCGGGGCTCCTGCTTGGCTGCAGTCAGTCCACCTCGACTCTCCCAGGCGCTCACTTAACTGCCTGAGGCCGGGTGGACACAGGGACTCCTGGTCAGGATGCCGATCCGCATTGTTTCCATCCACAGGAACTTACATGATATAAACCACGGCACATCCACACACTGAAACACTACACGCTTGTGAAAAAGAACACGGAAGCTCTTTGTATGTTAATATGGCATTATCTTTAAGATGGAATATTAGGTTTAAAAAAAAGGTACAGTATAATATGTATCGTAGACTACCATTTGTGGAAAAACCAATAAACCAAGTATGCATAATTAACCATAGGTATATAGACCCTCTATGTGAGAATATACAACAAATCAAAACCAACAGTAGCCTCTGAGGGGGAGGAATTGATGTCATATCTGCACCTTTTAAATTCTGTAGCATGTGCCAGTATTCCTAATCACACACAAACTAAAAGCTGGGGGGAAATGGAGAAGTCGCTCTGCCATGTGGGACTGACTATATATTCTACGACTCCTTTTCAAAAGAAGGGAGACAGGCTCATGAGGCCCACAGGGGCATGAGTGGTAAGTTAAGATCCAGACTTAACACTGGCACTAGCTTGGTGATTTGAAGAAGGAAGCAGTAAGAATGCATCACCCCACTGGGTAAAAAAAAATTTAACACATGCCCAGTGACTACGCTGATGGTGTAAACCAAGCTCGGTCCCTTCCTCACCCACAGCCCATCTTCCTGACTGAGGGCTGGGAATTCTGTCCCTAAGCACACAGCAAGAGCAAAGTCAGCGATAATTGCCTTCACACAAACCACACAATCCCACGACTGCGAATCCACTAAACCCACAGAGACTCCAGGCAGCCCAAGCTGGCTCCTTGCTCAGTGGACTGGGGGACATGCACAGCCTTCTGAGCCCAGAAAACACACAGAGCTTAAAGGCCATGGTCAGTGCACCAGCCTGCAGCCCTGAGCCCTGCGCAGGGCCATGGGGCAGCCTCTGGACACACCCACACCCTCCGTCCCCTCCATCTGCTGCGCCTCCCCTCCACAGCCTTCCAGACGCCCCCAGACAGACCAAGCTTCGGGCTGGCCCAAGGGACCCTGACCTCTGCAGGCAGGCCCATGAAGCACCCCCCCAGGTACCTTACCCCGGCACAGTAGTCGCCGCTGATGGTGACCCGCTGGTACTCGGGCATGGCATAGGGTGCTGGCGCGGGCTGGGAAGCAGCCCCAGCGACCACAGGGGTTGCGGGAGACATGGCCGGGCTGGCCGTCGGGGGGCCCTTCCAATCCTGCTGCGTCGGCATTTGTAGAGACAGGGACTGGGACCGAATCATCTTGAAACTTTTCTTTCTAAGAGCCAAGCACAAGGAAAAGTGGGAAACGTCAGCAGCTAACGGAAGCAAGCGATAAGGTGAGTCTGTGTGGCACGTGGCACGTGGCACGTGGCACGTGGCAGGAGAAACTTGCTTTGATTACTCCGGGGGGCTGGCCCGGCCATTAGGAAGCTCCTAATTACCGATGCCTCCCGCAGACACGGGTCTCTCTGCAGGAGGCACACACAACCCTGCAGACACACGGCCTACCTGCAGCCACCACAAACAGCTGCGGGTTGTGTGTGCCTTCGTCACAGGAGACGGACAGACGCACAGATGGATAGCAGCCCACAACGCAGGACCTCTACCACCATAGGACGTGACAGAAGAGCATGGCAGCACACTGACCAGGCTTCCCACGCTGGGGTGAGCGGAGCGTGCCACCTTCAGCTAACCCAAGCTCTAATCCCAGCATACAGACGGTCTCACAGTCCCAACATAGGACCACAGGCACAGAAGACACGTGGGGCATCAGAGCCACAGAGATGGGCGGCTCAACCAGTCCAACCTCCTGGCTGTTTTGTTTTGGTGTGGTTTTCATCTGAGAGGCAGACACACAGATACAGCTAGATAGCTCCCCTCCACTGGTTCACCCCTCAAATGCCTGCAATGACCCAGGCTGGGCCAGGCCAAAGCTGGGAGCAGAGAACTTAGTTCAGATCTCACGTGTGAACAGCAGGAACCCAATGACGAGCCATCACAACTTCTTCTCGGGGCCTAGCACTAGCAGGAAGCTGGGATTGCGAGCTGACGGCTGGTCTCAGATCCGGGTACTCCACTACGTGAAGTGGGCACCCTAACCACTAGGGCAAAGGCCCATTCCTGCTGGTTTTATAAACAGGCGTCGGGGGCCCAGGATGGCAGGGGGCTCACACAGAGTCACTCAACTAGCCACCACCCTGCTGAACGTCTGCCATCCTGGGCCCTGCCAACTGGGGCAGGCACAGAGCTGTGTCTCTGTTACAGGCATGGGACTGACCAGCATCAACCACAGGTCCCTCTGGACTGGTCACTTGGTCCCAAAAGAGGATTTCACTGACTCTTGGACAAGAGGTTGGTCTGAAATGATGCAAGCTCATGCTAACTTGCAAGGCTGCTCCGTGAGGACTCCACCTTCCTCATTAACAAAATAGTAATGGCTTCAAATGATCTCATCCCAAATCTGGGAATCTCCAGGGAGGGGATGACTCAGCAGTGCAGTGTGGCCTCTCCCTGGCCTCCGGGGGATCCCGGCCTCCCTCTATAGCCATCCACAGGTGTCCAATGCCAGAAACTAGCTGACCCCTGGCCCTTTCTACTGCCACAGGGGCCCCGCAGCCTCCTGAATATTGATTCCACTACACCAGCACCAAGAGTCACCAGCAAAGGACTCAGTGGTAACTGCGACCCTCCCCCAGCCTGGGGATCCCCTCCTCTCCAGGTACCAGTGATGTCTGCAGGATGCAGAGAGACCGGCTGCACCCCAAATGGACCTCATGGCTCACAGGGAAGTGGCTGTCTTTCTCCTGGGGCTCAGCCAGGCCCCTTGCTGCCACATCTCCAGGAGCCACAGTTCCCCTCTTGCCAGGGTCCCCTGGGTCTTCCCTGTCCACCCTGCTCTTCACACCTGGAACATGAAGGCGGCACCTAACAGACCCTGGGCTGCTTCGGGAAACTCAACCAGAGCCCAGGAAGCCTGCAGCCCAGGCTTTCCCTGTCCCACCACTCACCACGGGGCACTGAGCCAAGCACGCTGCCCTGAGCAAACGCCGACACGTGCACTTGGCCGTCACAGAGGCTGACTCCCCTCGGGCACCTTTCGGACGATCACCTCTAGAGGAAGAGCCACTACTTCAGGCTCCCCCTCACACCGTGCCAAGCTCAGCTGGGTCCCATGAGACCCTGGCCTCCATGTTACACTCCTGCCAAGTCACTGCTCATCATCTCTGTGTCGACCTCACTCCCATTCGTCTCAGCCACTGCTGCCTGAGATCTGTGTGGTCCTTCCAAGGAGAAGCAGCAGGTAATCTCCAAGGTGAGCAACAGGTAAGAAAGGTGTACACATACACACACACTCACACTCTCACTCTCACATGCTGACACATAAAAGCAGGAAGGCTTCCTAAGCCAAGAGCCTACCAGGTCCATCCCAGGAATGCCCGTATTCTTCTGTCCCAATGAAAAAGCCAACACTAGGGCTGGCGCTGTGACATAGCAGGTTAAGCCACTGTCTGTGACACCAGCATCCCACGTGGGCACCGGTTTGAGTCCCAGCTGCTCCACTTCCGATCCAGCTCCCCGCTAATGGCCTGGAAAAGCAGCAAAGGATGGCCAAAGTGCTTGGGGCCTCTGCACCCACGTGGGAAACCTGGAAGAAGCTCCTGGCTTCAGATCATTCCAACCCTGGCCATTGCAATCATTTAGGGAGTGAACCAGTAGATGGAAGACCTCTGTCTCTTTCTCTTTCTGTAACCCTACTTTTCAAATAAATAAATAAATCTTCAAAGAAAAAAAAAAGCCAGTATCACCAGCTTGTGCCCAAAGAAATCTCCTTCCTTTAGAAGTCCATTGTGGCTGTGGCCTCGGTCTTCACATGACCTCCATTCTGTCTTATATGGGCTGGGAGGTTGGACTTTGCAGGAAAAAGGAATGGGTTTAATAACAAACGGACCAATTCTTCAGGCCCATTCCCCTTGGACAAGATCTTGGCATGACCAGACACTAACCACTGAGCTTGTATCTCCAAAAGTTGGAAATGCCGAATAGAATCCAAGCAGGGGCCCTGTTTTCTGCTGCATAACAAAGTGCCACAAACTTGGTGGCTTAAACAAGACTCATAATCAGCTCACAGCTCGGAAGCTGAGAAATATGGGGGGGCCTGGCTGGGCTCTCTCTGTGTACGGGATTGAAAGGCCAAAACCTAGATGTTGGCCACACTGAGCTCTCGGCCAGAGACTCTGGGAAAGAATTTGCTTCCAAGTGCGTTTGGACTGTTGGCAGGACTCGGTCCCAAGTGGCTGTAAGAATGAGGTGCTGGTTCTTGGCTTTCAGCTGCAGTCAACAGCACTGTGATCCTTTTTGATCCTCGCACGTAACCTCTGCATCCCCAAAGCCACGAGCAGCGTGTTGCTTCCTGTATTGAAGGGCTTGTGTGATTACATGAGTCCTCCCAACAGCCTCCTAGCTTAAGGTCCACAGTACCAAGTTGTACTCACAGTACTCATAGAGCCTGGAGATTAGACACAGACGTCTTGGGTGGGGTGGGGGCGGGGAGGGGACTACTTTATTTTTTTTATTATTTTTATTTTTTTATTTATTTTTATTTAGTAAATATAAATTTTCAAAGTACAGTTAATGGATTACAATGGCTCCCCCCCATAATTTCCCTCCCACTCACACCTCTCCCATCTCCCACTCCCTCTCCTATTCCATTCACATCAAGATTCATTTTCAATTATCTTTATATACAGAAGATCGATTTAGTATATATTAAGTAAAGATTTCATCAGTTTGCACCCACACAGAAACACCAAGTGTAAAATACTGTTCCAGTACTAGTTATAGCATTACTTCACATTGGACAACACACTAAGGACAGATCCCACATGAGAAGTAAGTACACAGTGACTCCTGTTGTTGACTTAACAATTTGACACTCTTGTTTATGGCATCAGTAATCTCCCTAGGCTCTAGTCATGAGTTGCCAAGGCTATGAAAGCCTTTTGAGTTCGCAGACTTCGATCTTATTCAGACAGGGTCATGGTCAAAGTGGAAGTTCTCTCCTCTCTTCAGAGAAAGGTACCTCCTTCTTTGATGGCCCCGTTCTTTCCACTGGGATCTCACTCACAGAGATCTTTCATTTAGGTCTTCTTTTTTTTTTATTTTTTTTTTCAGGGTGTCTTGGCTTTCCATGCCTAAAATACTCTCATGGGCTCTTCAGCCATATCTGAATGCCTTAGGGGCTGATTCTGAGGCCAAAGTGCTATTTGGGACATCTGCCATTCTATGAGTCTGCTGTTTATCCCGCTTCCCATGATGGATCGTTCTCTCAAATTTGTATTTGAGAGGTAGCAAGACAGAGACAGAGACCTTCCACCCACTGGTTCACTCTCAAATGCCCACAACAGCTGGGACTGGGCCAAGCTGAAGCCAGGAGTCCAGAACTCCAGCCAGGTCTCCCACATGGGCGACAGGGCTCCCAAATACCTGAACCATCCCCTGTTGCCTGCCTCCCAGGATGTGCGTGAGCAGGAAGCTGGAATCAGAAGCAGAGCTGGGGCTCCAACCCAGCTATGGGCTTCCTAAGCAGGTCTTAACTGCTGTGCCACGCACCTGGCCCCTGGAGGCCACTTGAATAGTTTGGGCAGGGGCCCACATGTAGCCCCAGTGTCTGCCACCAAGGCTCAGCCCCCAGAGGTGGGGAGCAGCAGCTGAGTGCCTGTGAGACACCATGAGGCTGTGTGCACCCACACGTGTCCTTCTTTCCCTCTCAAGGCTGTCTGGGAGCCCACACGTGTCACAGGAATGCAGGGAGGACACACGAGGAGCCACCATAGCTGCCCCTGAATCAGACAGCCACAGGCTCTCCCAGCTAGGGCACACTTGAAAGGCCACACACCCACACCTCTCATCTCAGCAGCCTTTCCTTGAATAGCTCCTGTGACAGGAAACTTACTACATGCCTGAATCAGCACTCAGTCATTCACTGGATAAACATTTACCAAGCACATATTCCTGGCTGGGCCACAGCTCGACACACAAACACGAAGCGGGAACAAAACATGATCTGTGGTCACTGGTAGAAAGCACTACTTCATGATGGGCCAAGATCTGTCTGTCCACAGCGCCACCTGTCACACCTCATGCTGGCCCCTGGGTGCCAAGGAAGCCAGCTTCCTGTGCTGCAGCTGACCAGCCCCTCCCTACCCCACCCACACCTGGCAGAAGCAGCCCTGCCAAGGAGCTGGCAGACAGCAGGGCTGTGAGGGCCCGAACAGC